TTGTGCACAGAAGCACAGTGTAAAAGCTATGCAGGTCAGCTAGAAGAGGAGAGTGTGTACAAAGTCCTTGTGCATTGCCCAGGCTCTGTGCAGCTCTGTCCTGCTGTAGCTCTAATTTGGGTAGTCCCCCTGTGCCACTTAAAAGTGTAACATTAATAAGTTCTTCTCTTGGTCATTCTCAATTTTCTTTCTTTAAAGGAAGCATTAGTAGTTCTAGCTCTCAATTTTATGTTTATTTTTGAGAGAAGTTTTTATAAAGATTCCTTAAGTAATGTTTAGTCTGTTTGCAAAGTCTTATATCAACATGCTTTTGAATTTGTCATGTCATGTGGAGAGACATAACACATGAAGAGTTTCTTTAACTGTAAAAAGCAATATGGCTCTTGGCAGCTTTGCCTCCCCTTTTGTCTCTTTCTAAGCTGGAAAATGAATTTATTTTGTTAAAGCCAAAAGACATTTAGAGTTACTTAAGGCCAAGTAGGAGCTGCTGACTGTTGTACCCTCACTGTAGCATTCCCATGGCTGCTGGAACAGGAGCACTTTGCAAAATTAGGTAATTAGTGCTTCCTTATTAAAGTTGTTATTGACTCTGCCCCATGTTGTATTAAAGACAATCCTGAATATTAACCTTATGACCTAAAGGGATTTCCTCTCATAAGTCATCTGTAAATTTTTTTTAGCTCATAAAAATATACATTTGTATTTTGTATTCTTCCTCTAGATAACAATTTCTCTTCAGAAAACTTTAAAAATTCAACTGAACAGAGGGAAAGGCAGCCACAAAATAGTATGTCAGAGCTTACGTGAATGAAGTTCATTCAGAATTTCAGTTTTGCTTTCACTAAGATAGAAATATTTTCTTCAGTTTGCAACAAGATTAGAGTAATTCAGGACACATAACCCCCTTCATAGTCCATGATGGAGTATTTTCAGAAAACTGCAAGAACTTGCAAAAAAGTGTGAAAGATCTTGTGTCTGCATTAATTTGTGTATCTAATAATGATTACTAATTCACTGTTGTGTTAAATGCTGTAGGTCAGGCTGGCTGAATTTTTATTCAGAAGAGCTTTGGCCTACAGTCAACATTTTGGTTTCATATACTATGCTCTGTGTATATGTTTTGCCTTCTTTTCTCCCCCCCCCCCCCCCCCATTCTTTCCTTTTACTATCTCTTCTTCCAGTAAGATAAATTACTAATGACCTCTTTGGCCCTGCATTCTGATTCTGTGGTGAGGAGCTCTATTCACAAATCCACAGACCTAGATGCTTTCTGGTTGTGTATTTTCTTTCTGGAATGAAAAAAGTAATAACATAGCTTGTTTAGCTTTTACTGGTTTTAACAGGAGGCATAAGAAAGCTTTTCTTAACCTTTTTGATATTAACAGTCCATTCTTAATAGCCTTGCATTCTCTACAAGATTGAAAATAGTCAGAGTAAGCATCCTTCTGGATTGTATTTGTGGAGCTGAACAAATGGTTGATATTACCAGCTGGTAACATATGACACCAGCACTAAAATGTTGGCATATATTAGCTGTAACCCCATTTTACAAGTGATCACTCTATTATGCTTTCATTGATCATTCACATCTCTTTACTGTTAAAATCTCTTATCACCTTTGATTCAATGCCAGAAGTTTTTTTAGCCTTTTTGTTGCTTATCCATTTTTAAAATGTGGCCTGCAGCAATAAGACCTAAAAATTCAGGAGGCCTGAAGGCACTGTCACCCTTCAAACAGCATCAAAGCAACAAAATTACTCAGTGGCTCAGCTCAAGCCTTCTCACCAGCAGGTTTGGTCAGTCATGCTGCCATTTGCAGTTCAGGTATGTGCTCCCTGGAAGGGAACATTTACTTTAAGTGTTAATTGCCAGGGAAATACAGAAACAATATTCGGATTTTGCCAATAAAATGTACCTAGACAAATCCCTTTTCAAATTGTTTAGACTGTGTGAGGAATACCTCGTAATGCTTGCTTTTCCTCTGGCTGCTTTACAGGTTTGTACACCCTGAAAGTAACCTGGTTACCCCAGGTTTAGTTTAGGCACATGTAGAAAATTACCTATCGAGTTTGCTAAATACTAAAACTGTGCATTTACAGTTGCAGAGCACATTAAAAGGTGTATAGGTGCACCCAAACACCAGGCGAGCCGTGGTGTTTGATATTTGCAATGAGGTTGAGTTCATGAGGCTTCATAAGGCAGCTGGTCTGAGCGTTTGGTGTGAGGCGTGGTCCCCGCTGAGGGCAGATGTGTGTGGTTGAGTGGGTGTAACCACTAAGCGAGCGCTAACTGAGCTGTAACAGTGCTGTGTCTTTGCCTGCCCTTTTCTAAATGTGATTGAAGACCCAAAACCTTGACTATTTGTGCTTTAAGAAGTCAGTGTCACTCAAGAGGTCAGCTGACTGTGTTCCTGTCTGTTTAATTATGACCTCTATGTACAGAACCTTCTGGCAGATTGGGCTGTTAGGTTTGACCATTTAATGCAACAAACTGTTGTGCATGATAAGGCTGTGTTTGGCACAAAGGAATTAAACTGGGTATGTGTCTTCACCGCTTGTAATTCAGCTGAAGTATGCACTCATAACCAGCGGGAAATACGGAAATTCCAGGTTTTGACTAACTGTTGTTGGTTTGATTAGTTTTGAAGAGATGGCAAGCTAACATTTTCAGTTCCTTAGACACTGGCTTTTCTTCTGGACATACAGCTGTGGATCTTCTGTTTAGATTGTGGTGCTGCTCTTCATACATCTGCAAATTTTATCCCAGTGAGCAATGCTAGCCAAACTATGCTACCTCAAAGCTCCAAACAAGGTGTGGAGGTATTTTGCTACCAGGGTTAGCTTAGAATACCATCTGCAGGACTAAGCTGTGCATCTCCATGTGATTTCCCTGTAATCTCCCTCATAAGAATGTGTATTTATTGTAGGGCCTCAAAGAGTTTAGTCAGAGCCGAAGGCTTCCAACCTGCTAGATGATGTGCAGACTTAAAATCACTCTTTTGGTCTCTCAACATCACCCCATCCTTCCCTTTCATTTTCCTTCAGTCTTCTTTTAAGCCATACCTTCCTTTGACTCTAAATGGAGTTTGCAGACTTCATGGAAGCTGGGCAGGATGGGATATCAATGCACAAATATAGAATACACAAAACAGATAAAAACAAAGACTTGATAGAGACCCTCTTTTGCCATCTCTCCTAGTTAAATTCCATATATCTTCACATGGAGGCACTGTTCATTTTTCCCCTTCATAAAGTAATTTCTGATGTTATATCCAACAATACAACCATGGTTTTCTTGTGCTACTACAAGGATGGAGCTCTAGCTTTTGAATTTTAGTACAGTGGTGCTACTGTTTCTGCTAAGAGCTTTCTCTTGAAACATGCACTAAGAGGTCAAAAGTTAAAATAAATTTAAAATATGCTCAAGGGAAAATTCACCACACGTACTTGACTGTCAGGGTTGGAGGATTTTTTCCCACTTTTCTTAGTACTGAAGCATATTAGAGATTTTTATGGTTTTGAGTGTGATCCAGCATTGATACTGTAGCTTTGGAGGAGTGCCAGCAGGGACTCTTACAGAATATCAAGTTTTATACCATCTTATGTAATGTTTATGCGGGTGGGATATGACATATTGAAATTCAATTTATTGAAATTATTGACATTATATTCATGCTGCCCTGCTGCCAGTGGGGCTGAAATGCTATGTTTTGTGGTGTTCCTGGTTATACAGACATAGACTCTCGGGGAAGATACGTTTGCATTAACATTTTTATCTTCTTTTGCACCTATGTTCACTAGTGAATTGGTGCCATTATTCTAAATGCCTACACTGTGCAGCCATAGGCAAGTAAATAAATAAGGGAGAGGGTCTGAGTTCTTAAAAATAAGGAAAATTTATTCAGGTTTGCATTACTGGTTAAGAAACCTTCCTCTAGGCAGGCAGGGTTTAGTTTCTTTTTACACAAAAGGCAGTGTCTATTTCTCTCATTAATCCTTTCATTGCAAAACTCATGTTACAACAATGCACAGAAACCTCTCTACATGAGTTATGTCTTTTTGATTTTATCAGTCTAATTCAATCAGTGTGCATCTGTATAAAACTACCCTGTACAATACAGATTTTTTCCTGTCTAAGAGACAGAAAGAAAGACACATTTACTTTGAGGTCACTTTGTTGGCATGTCGGTGGTACCAATACCACCATGTTAGGGGAAGGTTGTGTAAGAGGACCTACTCTCCCAGACAAAGTAAAGCCAATAAAAAAATCTATGTCAGCACCAAACTATGAATTTAAAAGTGAATGTAAAAGTGGCTTTATATATTTGAAAAGTTTTTACTGTAGAGGCCATAATTTCTGTTTGTATTTAAAAGTGGTTTGAGAAGACTGTCCCTTTGTGTTTTACTGATATGTTTATATATGAGGTTCATGCTCTTACTGCACATGCAGCAGGGAAATCATGATAATCAAATTTATTAATGTATAAAGGAAAAATATGCCTGATACTCAAGAGAGCATTTGAATTCTCTGGGGCATTTCTGACATCTTCTTTTACTTTTGTTTTTCTGTATAGAGGATTTTGAGGTGTTTGTGACACATCTGTTTTTAACATCATTGCATAACAGTTTTTCCCTTTAAAATATCAAAAATCCTTTACAGGATTCAGCTTTTCTATTAACAGGATTATAAAGTGAAAAAAAAAAAAATTTAGACAATATTGCAGGTAAAACAGACTGAAGACTTTTTACACATACTTTGTGCTTTAGAAATTTGGCTGTTTAGGAAGCCTACCCTAATTGTTTTTCTTCAGCTCATCACAGAATCTATAATCAATTCAGCAAGAAGACTCTTAGCCAATGCTTTGAAAGATCCATACATAAATATTGCCATGCCATTCTGCTGGTTGGGATTATGTTACTTGCTGCATGATTGGTACTTATTTTTTGCCTGTAATAATCAATAAAAGTGACACTGAGAAATCTGATCTTCCTTTTCTGTAGGCCAGCTTTGGGTGGTCTCCTTACATCATCTTTTCGGCAGCACCAGGAGTCCTTGGCAGCAGAAAGAGAAAGACGGCGTCAGGAGAGAGAAGAAAGGTTGCAAAGGATAGAACGTGAAGAAAGAAACAAGTTCAAGTAGGACCCAAATTTGCTCCCGGTTTCTTGCTTTAATGTGTGGTAGATTGCTCAATCATTGAGACTTTCAACTGCAAAATAATTGAATTGATGAATAGAGTATCTCTTTAAATACTTTTCTTGATCTAAGTATCTTAAAAGCTGAGATACTAAACACATAACAAATTTTGGCATTTAATAAAAAAGCTATTTTTTTAAAGGCAGCCAATTACACTTGGTATGTAGAGAAGCTCGATTTTACCAGATAATATACTCACCAAATTATAATCTCAATGAGGTGTAGGATTTGAAGTTCAAACAGTGGGAAAAAGGTATCAAGAAGGGAGGAAGGGACAGCACTGAAGCATCTTTTTCCTTTTAGGTTATGCAAAGTAAAAATGCCTTGCTGTATGGTAGTGCTTTTTAACTACTTTTTCCTGTGTTTCTGAACATGTGTCTCTTCCTCCTGGAATCAACAGCTGACAGAAGTTAATGACCAAAATAACTGTTCAAACCTTGGCCAGACAAATGTCACAGTTGAATGCGGGACTTCGCATTTTCACATCTGAGAAAATGTTGTGCGATGTGGGATCCCAGGGTGTGCTGCCTGAGGATAGTAAGAGACAAGCCCACTCAACCTCTTCAGTCCATGCCTAGAAAATCCCAGCAGAGACGCTAAAAAAGACTGCAGTGGGCCAAGGATAGATGTGGAATCTATACCTGAAATTGTTTGCCTTCAGTCTAAAGAGTGTACACTAAGAAATCAATTTGTTTCCTCACAGACAGGAGTTAAAAGCAAACCTATTTTTAGTAGTTAGAAGACATAGTGCAATAACTTAAAGAATGGTAGTATAAATGTTTTGTAGCCTTAGAATTGGTAGTTATGGAAAAGATGGCACAGGGTTCCACGTTAGGCTGTTTATTAGTATGCAGGATTGTTTTCACTGTAATCATCCCTTTAGTAAGAAGTGGAAACAGGCTGTGAGTCTGTGAATTTGGAAAGAGGAGGAACTTAGGAGTGGTTGATTGATATTCTCCTGGCTCCAGAAGATAGCTAGTTTAGAAGGAAATGAGAGGCAGAGGGAAGGTGGAAGAGCACCATAATAGGATCTTTGGCAGCCAACAGCTGCCCAAGTTCTCCTGAAACAGAAACAATAAGGTTGCAGTCTTCCAGCCTGTTCCAAAAATTCTCCCTCTAAGTGGTATCATCAGGCTGCAGCAGGCTGCCATGGACAACCAACATGATCTTTCAGAAAGGAAACTCCCAGACTGGAAAAGCCAACAGGGCATTTGGAAGATTGACCTGTTTGAATAACAGATCTGCACATTTTAGTAGAGGTTGGCTACACTGGTTGTTCTGTCACTAAAAGACGTTTCTTAAAGTCAGAAAAAAAAAAAATCAAAATATACATTTTCATCCCTTTATTTCAGAGTCAGAAACTGATAAACTAAATATCATGATTATGCTACATATTTAAAATTATTTTTCAATGCCCAGTGTTTTCGTCTTTTGGATTTGAGTTTTGTGATAACCCAAAAGTTACAACTTTTGTTTGAACAGAGGTCTCCAAAGCCACCATACTTCACAAACAGACAGCATCCCACAGTTGATTAAATAGTCTGGCAGAAGGAAGACAAAGTCACAGCAAGCAGTCATGGACAGTTTCATAAGAGTTCCTGGGATTTCATTATCATATCATCAGTCTGGCTAGAAACCCAGTCTCTGAAGATGTATTTTTGATTAAAAATAGCACTTGCAATGCAGTCTTTAAACTCGTGAGCCGTACTGGATTTACCATCATGACTCATTTGTTATCTCATTCTTTCCAACTCTGCCTCAAGAACATTGCACTAGGTTCTGGCACCATTATTGACAAATAGAGAATAATTTAAAGGAGAGCATCACTAGTTGTGAAAGAGCTGGAGAATTAGGAGAGAAACTACAAAGCTTCAGAAACTATTGCAAACTAAAGGAATGCTTTGCAGAATGAACATTTTTCTCGGTAGAAGGACTATTGTACCCATTGCATATATAGAACAATATGTCCTAAACTAAAGTAAAAATAAATAAACAACATGTCCTAAAATTTTTCAGCTATAGGGAAGAGTGAAAGTTGTCAGTGGGGAAAGAGTAATGTTAAAATTTGCCTGCTGAAGATTTACTTTTTAAATGTTGTAAAAGTATAACCAGTTCAGATTTCAAAGCCTATGAAGATGGTCTGAAACAGTAATGTGTGTTCCCTGTTAAAGGACTTTTGAAGAGCACTTGCAGATGTTTGATAGCTATTGGTATAATAGATGATAAGTAATTAATTTAATAATACAATATAAAGAGAATTTTAAAAGAGGTCATTATTAAAAGGAGTAGTTCTGAAAATCTTTCTGGTGCTCACAGCTTACATTGTGAAAGAATCTAGCAGATAAGGTGGAGGTCTCATCAGTTTTCTCTACCAGATTCAACCAAATGTTAAAAGTATATTGTAAGGAACCATCTTGCTGTGATACTGAGACAGGGTGGACATTTGCTGGGTTCTGCTGTGCTCTGAGTTAAATTTGCATCCCTGTTTGTGGATGTGTCAGGCCTGTCCAAAACTCAAGCATTCAGCAAACTTGACCTGGCAAAAGTTAAATATATGGGTTACTTGAGGAGCTATGGGAGTGGCAGCTGACATAAAAGGAGTTTTGTATCTAAAACTCTGAGTGAAAAATAAGGAAGTGAAAGGTTGCTATCTGTCCATGGATGCTGCACGCACCCTCTTGGAATGTGGAATTGTCCTTCATAGTAAAGCCAGTCTGTTGTCCTGTTTCCAGCTGTGGCAACTACAACTCACTAAGGAAAGGTTCCTTGGAAAGGCCAACAGGTTTGCTCACTGCCTCAGTCTATCCTGCCAGGGGCTGCACTCACTGTCTTGGGGCATTCTAAGATGGAGCAAATGAGGGATAGTTAAATAGCCACTATGGTTAAATAGCCACTCATGTGTCTGCTCCCTATGGATAAGTGCAGTTCATTGAATCTCATTTCAGATACCCGGTTTCAAAGCATGCTTCAAGTTTTTTACTTTTTTCAGGTGTTTTTAGAATTACTTTTAATGACCTTCCAAAGTACATATTTGATGGTGTATGTATGGATAAGTGTACATTCTTCAGCAATTTTTGGAAAAGCAAACAAGTTTTTTTGACAACAGCCTTCATTGTCTCTGATCAGTTTGTGTGTACCACTCTTGGCTTCTCCTACTGTACTTATATTTGTATTACTTACCTTTTTCTTCTGGTTTCTGCTACAATTTGCTGTAATTCTCTTTCTAGCCGTGATTATTTAGACAAAAGAGAAGAACTAAGACAAGCAAGAGAAGAGAGGTTTGTATGTCATGCATCCATCCTTCCCTATCCTTCCCTCTGGCTGTTTGTACTTCCTATGTTCATTACTGTGGAGCTGTCATATGTTTACATTTTTAACTCTGTTTGCACAAAACATTTTTATTCCAAAAGACTTCTATAAGAAAGAAGTTGTTAAAGAGCAGAATGAAGTCCAGCTGTAAGCACAGCAATAAATGAAGAGCAGTGAGAATGCTTAAGAATGATTGATCGTCTTTTATCTATTTGTGTGGGAAATAAGCTTACCCTATTTACCTCAGAAAATTGCCCAAATTTAGTAGAGTTATAAATTGAATCAGCCTGTCTTTTTCACCCAGTGGGTCGCAAGCTTTCTGGAGGGTCAGAAGAGGCAAGTGAGGATAAAGGAAATTGGGGTCACAAGCATTGCAAAACTGCAGTAACAGGCTGATAGAAGTGGTTCTGACCCACTCTCAGCATATTTTTATCTTTCAGAGCCAAATTTTCTTTGCCAATCTCTTTAAACAACAGCAAGTAAATTACAAAGCTTAGCAGTGTTTATCATTGGGGCATTGTTTTAGTTTTATTTAAATAGCATATTTGAAGGGATGGAGGGTTTGGGTTTTATTTTTCCTTTTTTTTCCATTCAATGAACAAGTTTAGAAACTCTGGGCTAGGCTGGGAGGTATGTGCTTATAAAAGCATATTTTTCAAGGAATGTTCAACTAAGGACTTTTGTCTTTCAGTAGCTTCATCTCTACCCCTGCTAGTAATTGCATGCTGGAGGGAGTGCTTGTTTTCACCTGGAAGATATGCAAGTTACTGTACAAATAGATGAAAAATCATCCAGAGTGCTTCAGTTCTGCTTTTATGGTCCTCTAGAGATTTCTCTCTGGAGGTACTTTTGGATTGTCAAGAATTGGAGTTAAATTATCAAAATAAGGGAGCAGCCATCTCAGAAATCATTGTGTTGCTATGTTTTTACTTGGGGTTTTTTCTGGTTGCTTTTGTGTTTTGGGTTTGTTGGTTTGTTTTTTTTTTTTTTTGGTTTTTGTTTTTTTTTCACAAAATCATCATACAGGGGTCAGTTTGTTTCTGCAGACTGAAGTTTTATCTGTTGAGGCTGAAGTAGCTACTATTAAAAAATTATTTTAACATCTCTAAGAGTAAGAAAATGTAAATGGGCTTTCCATTGTGCTTCCAGTCTCAAAACAATTACAAATACTTTAAAGCATTTTCTGAAATGAAATGCATCTGAGCACATAAGCATCATGCACTGATTTGAGCTGAGTAAAACCTTTCTTCAGTGAGCATGCTCATCTGCAAGTTTTGAGACAAATTAGAAGTGAGTTCTTCAGAACTTTCAGGTTGTAAGGGAAAATGCCAACTGGAATATTTTTGGGGAAGTGTTCATTATTACTGCTATGCAATCTGAGACTATTTTACTATTCATTAGTATAGTTTTGTTATCTACAGGGCTCTTTTGAACTGAGATACCAAACTATCAGTTCCTATCATAAAGAGGAAAGACATATTTGCTTTGGCAGCACATAAATATTGGACAAAACTTTTGCAAATGAAGTCTTGCACCAGTAGTTCATTACATTGACATTCTGTAACTACTTTTTTGCAAACACCTTTGCACAAATGAAGTTTTATTTCCTATAAGAAGTTGCATGTTTACTTGTTTTAGTAGCATGCATAGACTGTAAGAAAATCCTATGGTCAAGATGCCTAAAATCCTAGCTAAAAACTGATTTGTATGTTTCCTCCATATGAGATCTTGCTGTTCAATGATTTGAGGTCTTTTCCCATTGCTTGGTTGGATGTTTACCAGTGGTAATTAAAGAATAAAATCGAGAAAGTTGAGCTCCCAAGCCCTCTGCAGTGTGAGGTGCAGTTCAAATGCTGTCCATCATCATGATTTTGTTGGCACCTTAACATTTTAAGTTGCCCTCAGGGCATTACTCAGATACCTAGGGAACTCAAAATGATAATTTCATCTACTTGAAGATGATAAATCCAGTGTTATGTTCGTGAGGAATACCAAGTGGATAGCCATAGACTTTTGGCTCATTGTCTATAGAGGAGAGTCAGCATAGCTGAGATGGTGTGTGATGGTTTCCATGGTTTAAAAGAATATGACAGCATATAAAGGGGCAATTTGTCAATCCTGTAGTGGAGGTATGGTAGCTCATCCTTTCAACCCGTTCAGATTTTGGTCTGTATGACTTTGCATATCTGCTGCTGGCATTCATTCATTATGAAGTGTAGGAATCGCCTTGGTTGGGTGCCAGCTGTAGGAGGAATCCCCTTGGTCCCCTCTGAGCACAGGGGGGAATCCTACATGGACAAAGATAAAAGACGAAAGGCGCTCTTCTCCTCGGGACTAAATCCTGTTTATTAAATAGGAGCCACCTGAGATCCAGGTGACACCTTGGGGGTAACAGAGGCCGAGGCATCGGGTGGCGTCTGGAAGAGAGAAGAGAGCAAAGGTGTTGTCCAGAGGGGTTTTGAGCCCAGGAAAAAGGGGGTGGGCGGAACCAAGGGGCCACATCCAATGGGAGACAGGTGAGGAGAGGGGGAGGGGGGAGCAGGCCAGGGAGAAACCATCACACCTGAGGCATGGGCATGGGAAAGGTGTGTGGAAGAGACCAATGTGACACAAACTCCATAGCGCAAGATAAAAACTACCCAGTGCAATTTCCCAGTGCAAAACAACAGCTAAATAACTATTTAGTGCATTACAACAATGAATATATTTGTCAGAAACAAAAAATAACCTAAATAATGTCATTTATCAAGTGTGAAGCATTAATAACTGATTCTTGAATTTTTTTTTATTTCTAAGTTATACCTATTTATCAAGCTTCGCATTTCATAACTAGTTCTGCTGAGGTGCTTGCTGCCATTGAAGTTGCTGTTCTGGTTCCCTTTTGTGTTTCAGCATAATAATCAGATACATTTTGAAAAGTCACCTCTTGATGATGGTCTCTCCTTTGCTAGTTGGCCATGCAGCACGCAGCTACAGAAAATGTTAAAGCATCTGAAAAAGAACTGAGGACAATAAAACATTGTAGCTCCCCACATCATACAAGGATCCATCCAGATCTTTGTTGTAGTCTGCTGGCAAACTGCAAAACTCACTTGGCAGCAGCCAGCTGGGCTGTACCTGTTAGTGCCAAGTGATCAGTTTGAATGACTCTTTATGAATCTGGAATACCATCTGCTCTGCTTGTGAGGAGGTGGAAGGCACCCTATGTAAGTGACCAACATTTAAGGAAAGAGTGGCTTCATGAGCTGTAACAAAACATCATGCTGATGCCAGAGAAATGCTTTCCCCTCTATTGAAAAGGCAAGATTCAGTCTCAAGAATTGGCTTCATGTTAGAACTGTAAACAGTTCCTATTTTATAACCATGCAAGTATGTAGCTTGTTATATTTTCATCCAGAGTCTGTAGGGGTTCTTTTTCTTGCAGAATTTGTTCAAAGCCTGTGCATACCTCTGGAGGAATAAAAGAAAATGAGTTTGTTCTTCATTATTGCTGTTTGCAGTAAGGCAAATTGCCTCTGAAAACACAAGGACTGCTCTTCAAAGCCATATTTCTGTGCTCTATATGGGTGTTTGCAAATGTGCATGTGTGTGTGGCTACCATATGTACTAAGCATGTTTGTTACCACATATGGCTGACTTCTTTACCCTGCCTGCTTTTAGTGCACCCTCTTACACTAATTTGGGCTGTCAGTGATGCAGAAGGGGGGAGGAGAGGTGTTCAGTGTTATGAAGTGTTTACAACAGTGTGTTACAGGGAATGACCAGAGTGTTTCAGGGACATAAGCAGTAGTCTTGACTAACCTGTTTAACAGCTCACTTGCGGATAAGGCAAACAGTCTAAAGCCCAATCCAGCTGTATTCATGAATTTATTCCTTAGCAAATAATGGTGGATAAAATTAGCAGACATCTGGAACAGGCACATATTTAAAAGTTATTTTGGTCGAAATGTATAAAGCATACTATGAAGAACATGATTGGTAGCTGGTCTTAATAAACAGTTAGTGAGTTCTGCCTGCCTAAAATGCAAAACAGATGTATCTTTGTTCTTTTAAAGTGACTTTGATGAATAAACTACATGTGACGTCAGGTACAAGCTATTGGATGTCTGAGTCCGGCAGAGAAATTTTTCAGAATAAAAAAAAAAAAACTTTCCATTGTAGGCTCTGGAGAGAACAAAGTGAATTCCAGTGCATTGCTCTCACAGCAAATAGAAGCAGGTTCCAAATCTTTAGATAGTTAATTCAAATGTTTATTATTGGTATTATTTTCAGGAAGATCTGTTTTTTTCTGCTGCATTTTCCTCTCCTTACAGCAAGTCTCAGATTTTGGCAATTTGCACCAGTATTAAGGGGCTCTGGGTTTGGAGGGTTTTTTTTTTTTTTTTTTTTTTTTTCTCTCCCATTTTAGTTTTGGGAGAGGGAGGGCTGAGAGGAGGAGGAGGAAGAGGAGGAAGGAGGAGGGTGAAAAGGAGAACAGACAAATGCTTCCAAAAAGGAGAAGGACTGTGCAGACTATAGCTAAAAGTTCTTTAACTCTGCTGGTTTTTACTTTTGTACTGTAATGAGCAATTTAACATTTTTCAGGGCAGTAGTCTTTGCTTCAGTGTGCACTTTTTGGCAGATTGAGCAAGCAGGCAGTTCAGTGCTGTACTCCTTGTGTCAGGCAGTCAGCTCATTCCCTGCAGGTGTTTCATCCATAAACAAGCATCAGCCACAGGCTTCTTTTTCTTTACGGAAACCCTCTGGAATTTAACTTTCAGATACAAATACTTGGAAAAGTTGGCAGCAGAGGAGTATGAGAAGGAGCTGAAGAGTCGGACTGTCAGCCGAGGCAGAAGTGAGCTGTCCTTGAACCTGAGATCTCCTTCAGCTCCATCCTCACCTGTACCCAAGTGCATCAGCCCAGCATCCATAGAGTCCCAGGAAGAGCTGAAGACCCCTTCCATCCTGTGTGGAACTCCTCAGCCCTCAGAAGGTAAGTGAAAAGGAGGGCAGGGGAAACAATGTTGGGTTTATCAGTTTATTTTGGGATGGTGATTTCTGATGCATGAGTGCAAGAATACAATTCTATGAGGTGTCAGAGTAAAGGGTCCTACATTGTTCCATCCTGGCTTCCTAAATTACCTATTTTTTGCTTTAATTTAGATATAATTCAATCTGTTCAATAAGAGGAAATACTGCTAATTGCTGCTATGATTTATACTATCATTGTCTGTTGCTCTTCAAATGGAATAATTAGAAAATAGAGAATACAGAAGATCTTAATTTTAGTGTCATGCTCCTTATATATGAGGAGTTACTGAATACTAGACAAACAGTATTCCTGCCAACAGATTTTGCGTATGTGGATTCTCTGAAAGAAATGCAACAGATGAATGCCAAGATTATAATAACCTTCCAGTAGAGCACAGGCTGAATGTAACAAACAAAAGTTCTTGAATTGAAGGCAGGGGGAGTATGTTGATTATTTTTACTACCAAGAAAAAACTCTTAAAATTGTAGCACATATCATAAAGGACTTAAAAGAGACCACAGGCAATTAGTAAAAAGGAAAGTATAACTAGTGTTTGCACGGTTGGTTTGCTGTCATATTATTTATTGGTGTACAGAGCAATGCTTTTTGTATATGTTTGTATGTCATTCTGCCACTTGCATCATGTAACTCTACTTCAGTTCTCAAAGCAACACATGCCATACAGATTTATATTTGCACCACATGATGTTGCATTAACATTGGGAGCTAGAATGCATGTTGAGGGCAAATTGTCGCCATCACTCATTTTTATTTTATTTGATTTCCTGCTACATGCTATTGGTGATTAATGCATTTGTAACTTGCACTGCTTGGTTTTATGAAGTGTTATGGCTGGTAGCATGCTATAATGCAAGGCAATTTAAGAAAAACGTTACAAATACTGAATGCTGCATATGGTTGTCCTCACTGTACTAAGTAGGTGAAGTTTATTTTATTTAGTTTCATATATTTTTCCAATTATATTCCCCAGTTTTCTTGTTTGGAACCTTAAGAGTCTCAGTGGAATAATTTCAACTTAGAAACCACAGATATTTTCCTCCAATACTGATAGTCAGAAATATCCAAACACCCATTTTGTTTAGTGCTATATTGCTTTTAGAGCAAATAAGCTGGATTTTTCCACCATTAGGATTTCAGAGCTGGGTAGGGAGCAAGTATCTCTTGTGATGATTATTTTAACATATTTCTCCTGGAAGCATTAAAAAAAATTGCAGCATGAAATGGAGCAGTATAAACCATTTGGAGAATACATTAGAGCAGGTGTACAGGGCAGCTTCAGACAGCCAGAATATGACAAAGCTATCAACATGTGGGTAGACAGGACCTCTCTACTAAAACTCCTGGCAATACAGTGGGCATTGGAGGGCAGCACCTGGAAGCCTGGCAAATGGACCACAAGGAGAGAATATATGGATGGGGCAGGGTAGCCTTCCAGCCAAAGGCAATTACAGAGAGATGGCCAGAATAGAACCTGAACAGAGGCCTGAAATCTGTATACTTCAGCAGGATCTGGGCATGGGGAATGACTGTTCTTTCAGACCTACCAAAAGTATTGGAAATGTCATAGGAAGTAATGAACATGTGGACAGGACGTACCATCTGCAAGTGCCCATATTATTGGATATCTGCCAGTGGGGGGACATTAGGCCAGGCTTAATGTAGACACTGTGCCATGGTCTCTATACTATTACTTGACTTCCTTATGCTCCAAACTGAATTAAAATCTCAATTTTACTGGTTCTAGGAAGGGTTGCAAATCCCACTTAATAGGTAGAGAAAATAAAGCATTAACTTGCTCAAGCCAGTTGTAAGAAAAGATGAAACAGAGCATGGACAGAACTCAGATTACTTGCACCCCAAGCAATTGCTTTTTACATGGGGTTCACCATCTTCCCAAGCAGGAATGAAACTGCAGAAGAAAAACAGTTCCTTGGTTCTGTGCATGTGATGCTCTAAAGAGTTTGGAAGAATGGTGTTAACAGATGTGTGATACTCACCTGCAGAATTCAGAACTTGAGGTCAAAGGCAAAGAGTGTTCATCTACAAGCAAAACAATAAGGGATTTTTGAAGTCAGATTTATTTTATTATTTTTGTGCTGAAATATCCTTTGGCCATCCAGTATCTACTGGTATTAAGAAGGAAACGGATTCTGTCTGTGGAACTTTGTCTCACACTGTGAAATGTGTCAGTACCATTACCCAATATAAAAATCTGGACTTACTGAGCTGCAGTGTTTTCTCATATTAAACAATTGGTTCCATTGAAGTAATCAAGTCTTGTAGGACTTACTCTTGTAAAACTTGTGTTATGGCATTCAGAGGAAATGAAGGCAGCCCTGTAACTGCAAAAAGGAACTTAATTTTTTTTTTTGGACCAGCTACTTACTCTTTTGTAATTTCATTGGAGAATATATTTTGTGAAGTGCAAGTATGCAGCAAAGGAGGAGCAACAATAACTGAGACATCTCTGAAGTCAGTCTGCAAAGGAATTTAAGGTGAACCCTTGAGTGAAAGAAGCAGCTGTTTTAGCACTTGAGAAAGTAGGCAGACCAACCCAAGTGCACATTGTGGACAGTAGGGGAGAACTTCTGAACAGTGGTGTTTGAGCAGGATTCAAATGCTGCCCGAAGCATGACTGATAAGAGCATCTCAGCAGATGAGGAAGCACCAGAGCATGAGCGTGCAATGAGGCCAAAGCAGCCCCAGCTGCAGAGCCAAAGGAACCATGATACTGAAAGTCCAAGGAGGAACTCGGGTGGGAAGACAAAAAAGGATCATTTCTGACTGCACGAAGAAAGAGCCAATTCAGTCTGCACCTGTTCTTACCAACACAAGGAATGGGAGGAAAAGACTGGAGTGGGAGTGGGGAGAGATAAGGAGTCCCTGTAGAATTCTAAGAAAGAGGAATCCTATGCTGGAGTAGCTGAAGGGAAATAACAGCCAAGACTTTAGGCAATGCCTGAACAATTGAACCAAGAGGTCTTGGACAGACATACACATTTTAGATATACGGTATGCATCCACAAGAGACACTCAGCACATCTCCAAGTGGAAGGCAAAGAAAATTGATGGGGATGTGGTTGGCTAATCAATTAGCCTGACAAGGGATTTGATATGAGCCCAGAGAGATATTTCTTCTCTCTGAGGGCATATAGGACTGGAAGGTTGAGTTCTTATCAGCAGGATACCAAATCTTTTGTCTGCTTCAAAGTAGATTTATAGTTGAGTATAAAGGAAATGTCCATATCCCTCTACTGCATTAGAAGTTCTTAGGCTTGCTTTTCAGAAAGATCAGCTTATAAAGGTGTCATGCTTCTTAACATCTCAGGCACACCTTCTTTGCTCTTGATGCTTTTTGATTTGACCAGGCTTGCTTTCCTGAGTCTTTGCACTCTCCACCAGCAGAAGTGTGAAGACAAGGGACAGAGACTGGTCTGTTATTTATTTATTTTGCCACCTGTGAGGTTGCCATTTGTCTGGTATGAAAATGGACCCAGTAGATGTGGGACTGAAAGTTTAAGCTAATTTCAAATAGGACACTACCAAGCATTCACTGAGAATTGTTTTTTTAATAGCTTCAGAAGTTCTCACTAATATCACTGCAGTGGATTACGTGATGGAAATGCAAGTGATGGACACATGTCTAGCTTGCTGGCTTTGTTCTCTTGATAGTGTTTCCTGGCAGATTTCATTTTTGTACTGTTTCTTAAGGGAAGTCCTGCTGGACTTAGCTCACTTTTTCAAGTGATTTGGATTATAGGTGGATTGTTTGATATTATCCCTAGAGAGAGAGAGACTGTCAAAATGAGTATCAACATATCCTTGTTTTGTTCTAATACTTGGATTTTACTGTTCCTGGAACTTAAAAGAGCGGCCTATGTCAGTATAGTGCTCTTCACTCTTTGTTATGGATTAGATTTTGCTAAGTTGCTGCATATTTCTGGTATGTGTGGAATATTTCTTGTTAGAAGTGTATCTGGAATTCTTTTGAACATTCAAATTTTCTCAAGCATTTCTTGCATCTTCCCGGAATTGTTTCTATTTAATCTTCAGTGTGGCTTCATGATGACAAAGTTGCAGTAAGTGTTAGGAATCCTGGCCACGTTTTAATCAACTTCTTTCTCCATCTGAGCTGTTGAAGTTGACCTTTTTGGTTATTGCATTAGTTTGTTTTTTGGTGTTTTTTTAGAGAGAAATATCTAAAATTTATATGAAATTATGACTATTCATGGATTAATTGGTGGCATTTGTGTATATGGACCATTGAACCATGGCAAGCTGAGAATCTTTCTTGCTAAAGTACCACATTAGTTCCAGGAACTCCTGAAGAATTCCTAAGCTTTACCTCAATCATATTCAAATCTTGTCTTGACTTTAAAATGTTCTCATTCTATACCTACACATTGACAGCTGTGGTGAGAAACACATCACTGGGATTTACAGTGTCTGCCAACTTCTTGACGACACTCTGTATTTTTGATTCTCTCCTAGGCAATGTCCAGGATACAGTCATAGGTAAGATACATTTAGAGAAACGAGGCATGGGCAGAGGTGCTTGCATATCTAGTGTTAGAGTTTTAAGTGCTCTCAAGGGAGAATAATATGATCTTCATTATTTTGGCTTATATATTTACTTAGAATAAATACTTACCTGCTCAGTAGAGGGCTGAAATATTTGGATTGCATTCCAGTATTTCAGTGTGATTTTTTTTTTCCTTCAAAGGTTCACGTAGTACCTGAAGAAATTCTCATTGTATTTTGTGTAATCCAAAGACAATGAGAAGTCAAGAAGACTTTTGCAATATTGTAATGAAAAATAGTTAACAGAGAGACAAACCAAGTATGACTTGGTCATTATAGTTCAGCCACCCAAAAGATTTAGTACAGAGGCAATTTGGGAAGTATGCAGAGCTAACATGCATGTCCATTTTTGCCATACTTTGCATGGCCATTTCAGGTTTCAGAGAACGGTGAGCTTCTTGATGTGAATATGTGTGGATGCTCTTCAGTTTCTTTGCAGCATGCAGAGAATATTTGCATGTGAAAACCTGCTGTTGCTGCTAAAAACCCTAAAGGTGAATTAATTATTTTTACTGGGAAAGCAGGGAAGAAGAAATCAAGTGTGTACTATCAACAGTGTTTTCTGTGTGCCAACTGATAAAAAAGCTCATTGTGTGCCATATGCCAACCAACTTGAAACTAAATATGTGCCATATGCCAGGCAGTTGAAAACTTTGCTGAATTTTGTTGTGGCTATTCTGAAGTAAATGTGCATGAAACAACATATGGTTTTTGTCAGCCAAATGTGTGACAGTGCCATTTTGAGACTGTGCCATTCAAGTGTGTTATTAAAACTAATATTTGTATTTTTTTGTTGAAGTGTTCCTCATCAGGTGAAAAAAGAACTCTTCCAGAACCCAAAGAAAATTCAACCAAAAGCCACAATCACTCTCCTTTTTGTTTGTTTCTTGTTTTGGTTTTTTTTTAAATCTCTTCTTTCCTGGCTCTGTCTAGGCACTGAGTTGTTAATGCTCAGGTGAGATGCCCATTTTCTGCTGGTTCATTCAAATCCTTGTGCGAGTCCAACACTGCAGCTGTGGAAGTATGTATAAAAATAGTGGGCTGGCTCCAGACAGCGAGTGAGGGGGCTTGCCAGGCCACTCTCACATGCAATGCTGTCGTCGCACAACATCCATCAGTCTGTTGCTCCTAATGTTCCTAAGCACGCCGTGGACTTGCGTTTTATTTTCTTTCCATGAGGCACTTGTACAACTCTCACGTCGCTCTCATTTAGAGAGGTGAACCTGAGATGGCTCCATTGTTAAGTGAATCTTTTTCTCCCATTGTTCTCTCCACCAGTGAGTGCCAGTGAACCCGAACCAGAGACAGAGACAGAACCAGAACCAGAGCAGGAGGCTGAGGCTGAGGCCAAGCAGGGAACGGAGACACCCAAGGAAATAGAGGCTACAGAGGTGGGACCAGAGAGTGAGGTGGAGCAAGGACCAGAGAGAGAGCCAGAAGAAAGTGCAATACTCAGTGAAAAGGAGAGGCAGAATGAGGAAGTGAATGAAAAAGACAACTGTTCTGCATCCAGTATATCCTCAGCAAGCAGCACTTTAGAGAGGGAAGAGAGAGAGGACAAGTTAACCAGTGACAATGAAACTGGTAAAGTGAAGCTTTTTCAATAATGAAGGGTTTCTGGTGGGGAAAAAAAAGTGTTAAATTAGCAGCTCTGATACTGTGTTAATTAGCTAACAAGTCCTTTTCACTTATCTAAGACTGTCTTCACCATGGCCAAGGCTTGTCTACTCTCTGCCTGAACATCCAGACTTTATTGGGGTTACTGTGTTTGAGGGACAGTAGAACCTTGATGAAATGAAGTTTCATTTTATTTGTGACAATCTTCTCCTAAGATTAATATATTAACTACTGAATCAGCATGTTGCAGAGTCTTTGCTCTCTATCTCCTGGAGAATTTATTTGGGTGTTCTGTACATAAGTCAGTGAGACAAAGGGCTGTGCTGTGCTGACACAATTTGTCATGAAGTTCCAGATACCTTTTCTCATAATTTTAGTGGAAAAGGAAGAGCAGTGAGGGCTGAGATGTTTGTTCCTTCCCTTCAGTACTTCTGTCTTGGACAGGCTTCAGACAGGAGAGAGAGATACATAGGAGCTGCCAAAGATAGGTCTGGGCTGTGGCCATCCTTAGCTCATGTGGTGGAGGCACATGAAGAAATACACCTTGTCTGGAAAAAAACAGTTTCGTAGTGCTGAGGGGTTCTAGTAGAATAGGCCACCAGGTACCAGCCTGGAAAGGCTCAGCCTGGGAAATACCTTAAGTACCAATTTTCTGCCCAGAGAGATAATGATAGCCAGAGTTTGTATTTCAGCTCAGGCAGGGAGAGAATAAAAGAGGATTACTCTTTTTCTTTTTTTTATGTGGAGGTAAAGGAATGTAATGTAATTAGGGCATTTGATTCTCAAGTTTTCTTTGGTCTGAACCATAGAATGCATTGTCCTATATTTTCTAAATTCTAGATAAGAAAATGAGATGTGCTTCACAGTGTGAAATAGTCCTGCTCTGTCCTGAAAGAAGAGGGATAACTCTGAATCCTGATTACCACATAGACCTAAACTGTCAGATTGAATTGTTCAAGTTTAAATCTCTGACTTTTTTTTCTGGGAAGCATTACACGAATTACATCCTAAATTTTAGAGCTAATTTCTTTCCAGTCAGCACCAAGACTGAGTTAATTAGAGTGCTATTGTACTCATAAAGAATGCAGATGGATATATCTGTGGGAAAGGCTGGGGAGGGATCACAGATGAAGGAAGTTGCTACACTGTGGCATAGTCCAAGATAGTCCAAGTACAAATAAAGAACAGTTGCAAGTTTTTTCTCCTTACCTTGTCTGACTGACCTGTTACAATTCTAATTTAAAGTCCCTATGTACTTTTTCAAAAGCTAAGTAATGTACTCTTCCTAAAATCTACATCATAAAATTGTACTACACTACCAGTAGACCAAACATTTATTTAGTAGTGCTGAATAGGAGGAATATTGTAGTGAGTTGTTTGCTGTCTAGTAGGTGAGGAGTTTTGGAAAGCAAACAAGAGCACTTCCTCTAGCAGTTTTGACATTCCCAAGACTCATTTTGTCATTTATGAGATGGCCCGTTGGTTCTGCCTGGGTACATTTAGGACAAAGGAATAAAACCCTTGGTGCAAGCATCTTCATTAGCCATCCTGCCAAATTTGGCTTCCAATAAGTCTTGCTTCTCCAATGGTATTTCAAAGTTTTACCTGCAGAGAGGAGGGCAGAAGAGGCCAGCAAGGTAGCAAGAGTCTTCACAGAAATCTTTGATCAGCTTGGACAGTTGGGGGGGAAATTGGAGAATGCAAATTAGAGATTGTGTCTGGGCAAATTCTGATGAGTAGTTTTTCAAAGGGATTAAACACTGGAGGATCCCATCTGATGAAACTGAGAGGGGGTAGATCATGTGGAGTTTGTGAAATGGATCTTGGGAGCCATCCTGAACATCTTTGAAGGAAAGGCTTGGAGTAGGGGGAAATCGTCTGTGAGGGCACAGCTGAGTAAAATCTATGGTGTGGAGAAGGAGCTGTCTAGTGATGTCTAGTGAAGCTACCTCAGAGAGAAATCTAAGAGACTGCCTCAGGTGAGCAAGTATTGGTAAAAAAGCAATCCCATGGATCTCGTCTGATGAAAAATGAGCAGATAATGGAAGCAGTGAATCCACCTGCAAGAAAGTAGGTTGTATCCATTTCTGAAAAAAAAGTCTTCTTTTTTTTTTTTCTGGGGTTAAACTCTGGACTGATACTAAAACATGGTTTAGAGCTTGATCTAAATAAAGGCAGGAGTCACTGCTGTCCACGCACTTTGTGCTGAAAGGCCCTACATTTTAATGTGGTGTTGTTTTAAGGGAGGGGAAACAGGGAGTTGTGGGGCCCTGGATGTAAATCTCACCAAGAGGACACCTTCTCAGAACACAGGACTAAGTGTTGTACTAAGAAAGCAACTCCATTGACCGAGGAAGCCGTAAAAGATACTTAAGATTCCAAGGTATTGAAAAAGGTGGGAGCATAAGTGAAGAAACCAAGATAAAATGGGAGTTTAAGAAAAAGGACAACCTACAGATACCAAAAAAAAAAAAAAATCTTTAACCACAAAGACCCCAAAAAAAGGCAGGCTAGCGATCAAAGTAAAATGATGAAATAAAAGAAGTAGAGTTTATGAAAAACATATTAATAAAATGTGTAAGGACTATGGGGAACAGAAAGAATTCCATACAGGAAATACAGTAAGTGTGAAGAATTATCATTGTTGCATGTTTAATCACTTCATCTGATGCCCACTGGAAAAAGGAGCACCATAATTGTTAGACACATTATCCACATTGGTTAGTAGTATTAAATTCAGGGAAATGGAGTCACAGAGACGCTTACATCATATATTTTTAAAGTTTGACCACTATAATTTGTTATTTATGGTGCTGTCTCAGACATGGTATTTTGCTTATTATTGGTGAGAAAAGCAGTAGTCAGAAAGATGAAGCTTCATTGCATTGAATTGTTAAATGATTGTAATGTGGGAAGGCCAATAGTTTTTCAACACCAACATGTAACAGGGAGGTTAACAGTGATTGATGAGCAGCATGTTCAAAATTATTTTATAAAGGTTCTCGTATCATAAACAATTTTTAAAATCTTGCTTATGCTTATACTCACTGAATTGCCCTGAGAGCTGTACCCTGGGTATACAACCTACTTTGGAATTCCAATAGTCTGTGTTGTGAAGATGGCCCAGGTACCCAGCCAGGGGGTTCTGAGGGTCTGAAATCCACCCTTCCCTAGCCAGCAGGGTGGGAGGAGGAGAAGTAAACAGCTACATGTCAGCCTTGATATCAGGCAGGGAAGATCTCTTTCATATGATAATATTTTCCTGAGGTTGTTCCAGTACATGGCCAGGTGAATAGTATGATGATAACCTGTTTTGTGTCATTGTCATGATATTTAAGCCCCATTCTGGAATACCAAAGGTTATGAGAATTTATGCATTGTATAAAATGAGCTGAGGTAGTAAGTCCAAAATGAAACCTCACAGATTTCAGGAGAAACCTGAACATTCAAATCCTGAAGTTATATAGTCCCTACCAAACTACATTATTCTCCAGTCCCCTGCCTTTTTTGAAAATTACTCCCAACCCATTAAGACCAGGCCATGTATCAGCGCTGTATCTTATTTCAAGATTTTCACAGTAGCTGCTTTCATAGTTTAAGAGTAGCTGTACATGTGTCCTGCAAATGTCTTTTTTTGTGGGTTGAAGGGTGTTCTTCGTGCTATGACTTCCTTCCCTTGACTCTTCCTGTCTCTGTGTGTGTGATTGCAGGCCCATGGTCACAGACCATTCAGGATGCTGGTGTGAATGAGCAGTGCAGCAACATCCTCAACAACAAGCGGTTTATGCTGGACATGTTGTATGCGCATAACAAAAAGCCCAAAGATGAAGAGGAGAAGGAGCTGGAGGCGAAGGAGGAAAAGAAGGAGACGGAGGAAAGCGAGGAGTCACTCACTAGCCTAGCCAGCAGGATCTCTATTCTTCAGGCCACAAAGCAGGCCAAAGATGAAAGTGTCAAAAAGATGGAGATTGGAAATCTGGACAACCAAGGCAGTGTGAAAGCCTTTGCAGAAAAATTTAACAGTGGTGAGCTGACTAAGGGGACAGCAGTGCCTGAAGATGAAATCAGTGAACAGGTCCCCGAGAAAACACCAGCACAGACAAAGAAGGAATCTGATTACATCTGGGATCAGCTCATGGCTAATCCTCGAGAACTTAAAATCAAAGACATGGATTTTACAGACTTGGGGGAGGAGGATGATGTAGATGTGTTGGACATGGATATGGGTCCTGGGGACTCCCTTGCTCCCCCTCCTCCACCTCCACCTTCTTTTCTGGGTTTGCCTCCTCCACCGCCTCCCCCCTTGTTTGGATGTCCGCCTCCACCGCCGCCCTCTGCTAATTTATTGGCTCCTCCTCCACTGTTCAGCACTCCTCAGGGTTTAGGGTCACCCCAGGTTTCTAGGGGTCAGCCAGCATTTATAAAGAAGAAGAAAACCATCCGTCTGTTTTGGAATGAGGTACGGCCATTTGAGTGGCAGTGTAAAAACAACAAACGCTGCAGAGAATTCCTGTGGTCGAAACTGGAACCCATTAAGGTGGACACTTCCAAACTGGAGCATCTCTTTGAGTCTAAATCCAAGGAACTGCCTGTCACAAAGGTACAGCTTGTATTCAGTTTGCTATTTTTCTGCTATTGTATTGATATTCATTCTGAATTAGATTTAGGTGATTTATGTTGTTTATATCAAACCAGTGGAAATTACTGGATATGTTTCTAGCTTGGTCTATGATGGAAGATATTCCGTGGCCTGACACTAGAGATGAGCCTAGGGTGGTTTAGGTGCCAAGTTGCCCTCCTGTCTTAGGTCTGCCAATTGTGGGATATCACTCCAGGTGACAAATACCAACAACTTTTACATTAGATTGTCCATAGCTGAGTGCCAAACTGGATACTGGAATCTGAAATATTTTCTGTTGCATTCGTACAAAGGTCACAGCATGGTGATTCATATCTGTGTATTTGACAGTTCTTCACTTGGTAATATTTTCCGAATCATTATGTGGAAAGGTTAGAATATCAGACTGGATCTGCTGCAAAGAGTCTACACATGTGTTTTGTTCTGAAGGATGGAATTATCAGCTGGACCATGTTTACAGCTGAACTCTGCAGGGGCGTTGGGTTTTTGTTTTATACTGGTGAACAGGCCTATATTAAATCTTTAATTTATACAATGGGGTAATTTTAGGATAGAAGCTGGCACAGGAAATACCTTTGTAGCTAGGATTCCCTCTTCCTTAGTATTGTAATAAAATAAACTCACAAATGCTCATGACATGGCTGTTTGACATTAGAATCAACAGCAAAAGGAAGCTTTTTATAGTTGCACTTAAGAGGAGCTTGAAGTAGTGTTAAAAAAGTTATTAGCCTGAACATTTGTTTTTCATGGCTACATAAACTCCTTTTCTTCTAAGCAGCATAATTGGTAACAGGGAAACAATATTTTTTCCAGTTTAAATGATAGTAAAAAATGTCCATCTCTCTTAAAATAAATGAATGGCTTGTGTGTTTTCTCTATATGCCTATATGTCTTATAGTAATATAAAAACAGTCAGCACCTTGAATATTTTACTTCTCTTTAGCTAGAGAAAGTTGTTACATCTATTATGTATTATAGATGTTGTTGTTTGCTCCTACACTGGGGTATCTGGATGTCTCATAGTAAAGGTTCTCTGTGTCACTTACCCAGTTTATTAACTCAAAATTTTCTAATAGTCACTCTTGATCATCTTGACAAAGTGGAAACATTGGAATTTCTATAATCAAACCCCCAAGTACCTAGCAAGCAACAGGTACATAAAGAGATGGCTCGTGTAGATCTGCCATTACTGCTCTTAGCTGAATTTTTTTTAACACAGATGCATGCAAATCTGAAACGTATGGTGTAGCACCTTTAAAAACACATTCAGCTGATTGTTCATCTGGCCAATGCCGAGATTAATTCCTTTTCTGCTGAGGAAGGAATGCTGGTGACATTGTGGTGTGCTACTCCTCATCTCTCTCCCCGTAAATACAAAGCTGACACAGATGGTTCATAGATGGAAGGAATGAGAGCATTTTCTTAGATCCATAAAACATTTAATTCCTTGAATTGAATGTGGAATGATAACATACTTGCCATTTCCAAAATCTAGCTTTGTGCTAAGTGCCAGCATTGTAATGGAGCACTCTGACTGATTCTTGATCTTTGATTCTCACATGAAATTTTGATAAAATTTTAAATTGTTGGAGTTATGACTTGTTTACTTTTCCAGTCAGTCATTGTGCATGTTCCCAAACTACCCTTGGCCATTTTCCCTCCCTCACACTTGCTTCTCAAACCTGCCTGAAGCTTTGGCACAGTTATTGGCTTCTGGCTGGAAGATGAGTGAGCAGGTTTCTTTGAAATTAGTGCAAGTCTGAGGAATAATTTAGGTGTTTTCCCCTTGGCGACTAATAACTGCTCTCTGCATGAGACATTGTACTTTTGGCTCTCCTTCCACCCTGTCCCATAACACAGACATAGAAGTCTCATTGCAGAGAAGACAATGGGGACCGAGGAGTACCATAGTAGAACTCTGTGCAAGCTTTCGAAGCTCCTGCCTGGTTTTCATGAAAACCAGCAAATCTTCCAGAGCAAGAGATGGTCCTTAGATCAAGAGAAAGTGGGAATAATTAACCAGACCACCGAATCCGTAAAAGACTTGAGGTTTGGTACAAAGATTACACTCAAATTAGGATAGCTGTCGATTTTTCCAGACTGCTTGGTTTACTTCCAGAGAGCACATTCCCCGTTGTGTCTAGTTTCTCGTGTCCAATGGCTGCAATCCAAAACAGGTTTATTCTATAATATCATAAAGTCTGAGTCACAGCTCAGTTGGTTCAGCTGAAAAAAGAGAGAGCAGAGCAACAAATCAGAAGTCAAATTTCTAGATTTCATATTAAGAGATGGAAGTAGGTGCATGGAGGAGGAGCAGTCCAGAAGGCTGAGAGGAAAAGCAAAGTCAGGGTGTATAAAGGGGGGCTTGGCTCTATCTTGTGCAAATGCTCTCTCATACAGCTGTAACCAATTTTCCTCCAGTTTCTAATCCTTCACTGTGATTTCCACAACACACAGCTATAAACAGCTACTTCCTGGCTCATGAGAAGTTTTTCATTAAACACAATAGACTATAATAAAATAAAGTGGATTTAAAATTGTAGGACATAATACAAGATTTTGGGGGCTGGGACTGAGAGAGGAGATTCTTGATTTTAGGAAAACTTATGCCATGCTGAGAAATTTGCACATTGATATTATTTCGTGGAGCACCTTTAGTTGCAGATGGTTTGTTTTTTAGAATAGAACACCCTGCATTATATTGCCAATATTATAAAATATTATATTGCCAATAGAAGGAATGAGCAGGTATCGCCTCCAAACCAGTGTAGTATTTCCTTCCTTTCCACTCCACTGAACAAAGCAGATATTTTGGGAAAGTACTTCAAAGTGTTTACTTTTCTGTGAAGAGAAGTCAAAACATGCAGACACTCCTTAATCAAATGCTGTTGTTCATCCCTTTTACCATCCACTTGGTTTTGCATGAAAGTATTATTTTGCTGATTCATGTATAGCCTGTGGGATATAGTGATCCATCATGTGCCCACAGGCATAAAAATTAGTAGGAGAGAAAAAGGAAGGAATATGTTTTCATGTACACGTGCTTAGACACATAGTCCTTTTGAAATAATTTGTTGCAATTTCAGTAAATGCCAAGACAAGTCACAAATGTGGACCAGAATTTCTGAAAAAGATTACATACAGATATCCTAAAAAAAGTCAGTGGCAGCTGGGTTATTCCATTTTAAATCTCTTGTATTAAATCCTTGCTAATTGAGATAGAAATAAAATAAAATCTAAAAAAAATATTTTTAAAATAGCCATCTCACTATTAAGGTAGATTTTTCTGCACTACTGATGCAGACTTTTGCAACTTTAAAGGCAGAAAATACTTCTGAATTGATGCTTACAATATAATTATTTATTTATATGACCACTTGAGAAGTTGTTTAATTTTTTTTGCTTCCCATATTAGTTAAAGCAAAGAGGCATGTTTAAGACTATGTTCTCATCAGACTGCAAATCACTTTCTGTGGGATGGTAATAGGTTTTAAATAATCCATCTGGACTACCCAGTCTTCAACAGGGACAAGAGGATGTGGCCAGTTAGATTTTGTAAAGGTCTAAATTCACTATAATTGTTAATACATTGCAGAAGTGTTTATTTTCCACAGATTATACTATCTGGTACATTTGTATTTATCATTACCTTTGTAATTAGATATAATAATATAATATATATAAAAATTGAGGGATTATACTTCATACTGACGCATTAAAATATAAAATCAAGTGCACTAGTTCACTGTTTCCTCAAGCATTTTAACTCTCTCTGTTAATGAATTTATAAAGCATAGATTGAAGTCACCAAATATTGTAGCAGAAATTAGTAGTTGTAGCTTATTTTAACAGTCAGACACTTCCACCTGTGCAATTTCATTGCAGACAAAAAGCAATTATTTTCCTAGCAGTAAGGTAGTAAAGTTCATAGTAGTAAAATCTTTCTCTTTTCTTCATCCTTTTATTTATTTGGAAAGGATTTCTTTGGAACTCAGACATCATCCCAAAAATGGATTTTAAATCTCTTCAGCCTCTGTTTTTGAAAAAGGTTACCACCCCAACATTTTATATCCCATATGCAGTTGTAGCTCTGGAAAATACCTCCATGCACTCATGCCCTGTGCAGCTCATCTGTCTTTCATAACTCATTGTTAGGGTGTGTGTGCACTGTAGGGATCACAGTGATCCCAGCTGTGAGAGTCCTGCATCCCCCAAATGAATATGTCTCTCTTGTCAGACTTGGGAGCCTAAAAACAGAGCCGAAGATTTGAGGCTTACTTACCCATACCACATGTGGGAAGCCTAAATTTAACTCCTTTCCTCTGGCCTTTTCCCTTCTGCAGAAATTCTTTTAATTTTGTGCTCCAAAGGAAAAGGTAAAAAGTGGTGGTTTTAAAAAGGCTTAGTGCAATACCAACTCAAGAGGAAGCAGTCTCTGGTGAACCCACTTTGGTTTTAATGTGGTCTTGGCCACTAACTGTGGTCCTGAGAATGTGATTAGTGGCTTGGGAAGTAAAAGTTACTGCATTAAAGGAGAAGCTGCATCTCACATCCTTCAGGTAGCTCCCCAAGAAAAAGAAGAGTCTATTATTTAAAAAAGGGAAAATTCAGGAAGGCTTTGGGGATACTTTTTAGCTGTTAAGAAGAGAGCTGTTCTGACAGAACTGATAGAAAAACATTGAAAACAAATATTATCTTTGCTCTCCTAAAATTTAATCTGTTTACTGCAAAATTGTTGTTTCTTTTTAAGTTTAAAAAAAACAATTCTCTTATTACTTTCTCTGATCATACACATGTGGTATTTCTAATTCCTGTAAACAGCACCTGCCTTCAGACCCATGTGGACACAAAAGTTGCATCATACCACGTTAGTTTTTCTGGTGTGATGAAGGGACTGTGGTATCATACAGGAGCTGGGCAAGCTGCAGGAACCAGTGGGCAAAGCTCTTCCTGTGCAAGCAAGGTTCTGAGCTATGCCAGAAAAAGGTATCTTTTTAATGATGCAGCTGCGTTCCCCATTATGGACTGTCCACAGCTGGAGGTGCTTTGATAAAATCGTATTTACTAACTTCCAATTCAAAAACAGCATGTAGGCCTGGCAGCGGGGTATCTTGTGTCTTGGTGGCTGTAGTGCAAAGAAAGTAGAAGGACAAATCTCGGTAGTAAAAAACAATCCTGAGCACAGATTGAGACTCGAGCAGTAAGTTGCTCCTGGGCTTTCTTCAAATTCACAAGAGATGAAAGACTGATACATCAGCATGCAAGACTTCTCGCTACGCTCCTGTGATTTATGTCATTCCTCAGTCTATCTCTGATAGGGAAAAGGCAGAAGAACCACAGAAAACATGTTTACAATGTTCACATATATGCTGAGGGAGGAAAAAATCAGAGTATGAGGAACAGTTTCCTCTCACCTTTCAGCTACCCAGCATGACATACATAGTTACTAAAGAGACACCTTCTAGCATGGGATGATGAGAGAGAGAAAGAGAGACATGCTGAGGTGTAAAACCAAAGACGACATTCAACACTACATTATGCCATATAAGTGGATTTTGAGTTACGTTGCTTACTTGGTTCATATTTTGCCACTATAAGGATGGGGAGAAGGAAATTCCTTGAGTGTACTCTGGAACAGATTTAAAGCATATGTTGCCAGTTCCTTTGTGATTTTGGTATTATTTGTACTTCGTAGTATTTGGAGGTAAGATCCAAGGATATGGATAGTCTCAAATAAAACTTTGTAAAAAGCACAAGGGTTGAAATTTTTCTGCATCTATGAAGGACTTGACAGACATATAATGAGCAGCAAGGTCATATAGCATTACCCTGGCAGCCAAAGGTCAGAAAACCATGCCAGTGCCTCCAGAGAGGCACCTACGGTTCCTTTGCCAGTGTCCGAGGTGGATTTATAACACAGGAGAATGCTGGCAGGCAGGTGGGAACTCTGTTTCCCAGATAGCTACACTAGTGAGAGAGGGTCCAGATTGGTGCATCCAACAGGGAATTGAGCCCTGGAGCTCCTTGGCTGCCCTGCTACTGCCCCATCAGTCCCATACTGGCCAGTCCTGCTGCATAAGAGAGCTCTGGGCTGGCAGAGGCAGTTTCAGGTGTTTTTCAGACTGGATCCTGCCCAAAACTGCCCTTTTGAGGACTGTGTCAGACTAGCTCTGCTTTGCACAGCAGTGTTCAGATCTCTGATTGAATCCTGGCAGCTCATGTTGATAGGATGAGGATGTGCTACAAGAATTCCACTTGTTTGATGCCTAAAAATAAATCGGGTTACACTCAGTGTCAGCTTTCTTGAGTGGAGGAAGTCATTAGTGAAAGGAGTGACTTTTCCTTTATAAAACAGATCAGAGGAATAATGACCTTGTTCTCTTCTTTACCAAGAAAACTGCTGCAGACGGGAAGCGACAGGAGATCATTGTGTTGGACTCAAAGCGAAGCAATGCCATTAATATTGGCTTGACTGTCTTGCCCCCTCCCCGCACCATCAAGACTGCTATTTTGAACTTCGATGAATATGCCTTAAACAAGGAAGGAATAGAGGTAAGAAAGAGCAGTCAATGTCTTCAAGTCTGCATCTTCAATACTTTTTTTCCCCCATGTTGCATATGGTACAGGCCAGACTGGTCATGGGAGACAGAGAAGGGGTTGTATTATGTTCTGAGTTTTGAAATTTATGAAACCAGTGCGGTGGACTCAGAAGCAGGAAGTATCATGAGGCTGGGCATGCTCAGTGATGGTGGATTTGGATTATCTGCTTTGTTTGAGTAGCAATGGTGTTAATTCCTGACAGGTTTTTCAGAGTATTATCTGAAGCTTGACTGAAATATTGTGAGCAGCAAAAATAGGCAGTGAGTTACTAGGGCTGATGCAAGTAGTACAGGTTTTAATAAATTTCATGCCCAGCTTGCTGTTGGAATCATTCTAGATTGTATATCTAATGGAAAACAAATACAGTGACTAGTTCTACCCAGAATAGCATTTCTGTGTTACTGTTGTTTGAAGAAAAGCAGTTGGTATAAAGATTACAGATGATGTAATTTTTACCACTACATGTTTGACTTTGCAGATATTCTTACCAAGATCCAAGATGAGCTCTGTTTATTATTTTTTTATCAAAACATTTTTCTTCTGTGAAGTGTAAAAGAAGCCTGTGGCTCCACTGTTTTTTTCATTATGGTCTTATTAATTTCAATTTTTTTTTTCAATAAACCTATATCATCTAGTAAGAGTAATCTGCACAACTACAAATCTCAACTACTGGCTATCAGAGGTCATATATTAATTCACAATCACCTTTTAGTGGTTTGGCACTGTGTTTCATGATTTCCCCCTTTCCACCTCCACCTTGCTGACTACAAAAGAAAATGAGAAAAGCTTCCTGGAATGACAATGGTATTGCCAACAGTTGCATGCAACAGAAATGCTTAAGGCAAAAGATCCTTCTAGCTAGAAGGCAAGAGCTGATTTATCTAACCAGCTAACTAACTAGAACATTGTTTCTTCCCCAAGCTATATTACTTTTTTCTTTATGCATATTTTGTTTGTATTATGAAGGTGACAGATCACTCTAAAATCAGCAATTTTTTCATTACATAGCCCATGTACTCACCACTGCAGTGTGCAATACTAAGCTTTAAAACATTGGAGAGAAGTACCCCTCCAGCCAAGCCCAACTCCCAGCCATTTAGATGTCAGTGCTGTAGGCAGTGTTTCCATACAAAGTTCCAAGATAAAATGGCTGACAAAGGAGGATGAGTCTTCATTAACTTCTGTGTATCATCTCCTTAGAATTGTGTCCTTCTTTGGCTTCAGGTGCTCTGCACAACCTACCCTTTCCACTGCCAACATTTGTCTCTGGGCCATCCATCTGCCAGCCACCTGTTGTGGCATCCACAGCTGTGCTTTGTACCACCACACCCTCCTCTGGGTGGCCTTTCCATTAGCTTACAGGAACCCATAATTTCATTTAAAATATATATGAAGGTGGATTTCAAGTTGAAGAATTCAAGAAACCAGGAAAATGTACACTCTTAATATACTTGCTCAATGCTAAAGAAAAGGTCTCTGAGGTCTGTCCCCAAAGCTTGAAGCTAAGGACGGGAGTAATGCTCATGTGATCATTCAGGTATTTGAAATGAAGAGAAAGGGTTCATGCAACAGAGCCCAGCTAGTTTGCACTTTGAGGAATGAAGTCTTGATTGTTTGGGAAGGATTATGTCCATGGAGAAAAGAGCTTTTTTCCCTCAGTTATATGTATTTATTTACTTCTTCTCAGGTAAAACCTATAGTGAATTCGGATTCCCTTTTCAATCTCAAATTACATATTTTTCTTAAAGCTTGTGACAGAGTCAGACCTTTATAGTGATAGAGAGGGCTGGATTAAGTTATGAAGAATTGGCCAGGTAGCACACAGGTTGATACAAAAATGCATTATTTTGAGTCCCACTGTTTTCAGCAGATCCCCGCCTCAGTTTTCCATACTGCCCCTTTGGTCTACAATGTAGGCAGGCTTTGTTTCCTGTGTCTCTTCTCTTTTTCTATCTGTTCATTGCCTTTAGCCCTTAAATTAGCATAGAGGGAAGAGAGGTTGTTGTTTCAGTCTAAGTCGAGATTTTTAGACGTTTTCTGGTTCATGTCTATCTAAATACAAGGAAATAATTGGTAGCCACTTTGAATGAATCAGTAATAGTGTAAGAATCAGCTTCATGTATTAAAAAACCCACAGATAATACAGCAATTTGCTATATAATGCAATTGAGAGCTTATCTATGGGTTGATTGAGGCAGGACTGGTATGGAAAAAAATGTGCAATTTGCCTAATTAAAGAATTGTACCACAGTGGACAGTCAAAAGCCTTTCTGCACAATAATTGTATAGAAGAGTGAGCAGAGGAGAGATGTAGAGAGAGCAGGAAAAGGGATGTGTGCAGTGGCAACATAACATTCACTACTAAAATTTCAGAGAAGCCACAATATAGGATCATCTTCGGCTTTTGTCAGATCCAACAAAGAGCAGAGCACCTTGAGTGTAAAAAGTCACCTGAACCATCCTTTGCCTTGGCAGTGAGCTCTGTGTTGTGTCCTTTGCTGAGGAGCATTGTCACTGTCCTGTGAGCCTGTGTGTGGCTTTAGTTCTGCACTTCGGTGGATTAAATGGTACCTTAAAACTGACCTTAGTGATTCCTTTAAGGACAATGGACAAAAGCAGTGCTGGCAACAAGCAGGGAAGCAGTGGCCTACAGGCCCAAGTTCAGGATAGCCCAATTCATCATCTGCTCAGTCCACAGTTAGAGCACTAGGTCCAGTAGAGCCTCCACTGCGGCCATACATCCTGCTGAGTGCTGTTTTGCTTTGGACATTGAATTCATGTTAGTAATCCATACTTTACTTTTTAATTTTAAATATATAAGTAAGTGGAAAAATACTCTCGTTATTTTAAAGCCCTCTATTACTAAGTATGTAGCATATTTTTAGGTATTAAAGTGGTTAGGTAAACCTAACCTAACCTGAGCTGTGAAAAAAGGCAGAAAGTGGGGCCATGACACTAGAAAAGAAGTAGTCCACTTAGTATGCAAAGCAGGCACTGTTTAAAATGTGTTTTCAGAGGAATGCACATCGTGTGTTTGCAAGCATGAGCCAATCCAGCTAAAAAAAAAATTGCCACCTTACATTTGCCAAAGTGTTTGTGTTTTCCTTTCTTTGAAAACTTGGCATTCATTGTGTTCAAACAACTTGGAGCTCACTGCAGAATAAAGAACTGCCTCCTTACAATGGATGAGGTCTTGCTGGGAGTTAATCAAAAGAAGCAAGCTTAATCGTGGCACCTAATTTTTATGTATCAGAAGAAACTACAAGAACAGAGTCCAACAAATGGTGCTTGTCTGGAGCAAAAGAAATGTGTGACTCCCTCTATAAAGGGCTGCTCAGTAAGGAAGTGTGGACCAAAATCAAATAATACCAAAGACTGTGGTTAATTTAGCAGACTAAAATTAGGGTAATGTTGTGAGGAAATTAGCATTTGTTTTCTGCTTTACAAAATGGCTTTGAGATGCTCCACAGTGTTGATTGCATTAGTAGGTATAGCTTTTAGTAAATCTTAGAAATGAAAAAAGAAATCTCTCCACACCCAGGTATGCTACACACTGCATACTCATAATAAATAGTTTGAAGTATTGGTGTCTGGAGTGGCTGGATAGCCCTGAGATGTAAAAAAGGGTAAGAAAGGAGAGCTTGATGTTAAAAAGCCAGATAGTGATATGTATAAACAAAAATCAACATCTGATTTTTGAAAACAAATAAGGTAGTTACATTTTTACTCTGATCATTGACATGGTACATCAACATTTGCAGTTTATAACTTGTTTAGCTAATGCTTTGTAAGAGTGTGATGGGATGTTTCAAATGATGCTAGCTTGTGTGACCTAAAAGAACACCTTTTTTCACATATCTAGACAGCAGAGAGAATGGCCTCAGTGGTGCCTTGCTGTCGCTGTAGGACACGAGAAAGTACAATGCGAGCTACCTGCTATTTTGCAAGGCAAAAGAGAGGAAGTTTATTTTCTGACTCCAACTTTTATACTTTTCCAAAGGTGACAGTGGATTGGAGAGTGAATGGACTACCTCTCCAAATACATTGGACAAACTACTAGTACATCAAGTTTCTCTACCCCTATGAAGGAATGTAAAACAATATGTTATTTACAGAAATTGTGTGGGAAAGTTTTCCAACAGAATGTAAACTCAGAAGGCTTTAGAACAACTTAAGAATCAGGGCGACATCTCACCCTTTTTAGTTTAAAAGAAAAGGAAAAATGAATAAGGTTTAGTGTCTGTTTATGGAGGAATTATCAGAGTGATCACCCGCTGTTATCTTTAAGTGGGTCATCACTCGATGATTCATCCATTTGATGACTCTCAGTTTGGTCATGGTTTCTATGTTGCTCGTTGGTTGGATTCTGTCTCTGCGATTGCAGATCAGGACGAACACACCTTGAAGGTACCCAGCGTACCCCAGTATCTGTGGATATACAAGCATACCTGCGCCCCGAAGCGATAAGGTTATAGGGACTTTCCCATTGTTTAGTGACTAAATTCTGCACTCAAATTTTTGCTTGAGGCTGATGTGCCTCGTCTGCAGCCTGTAACGAGAGATGATGATTTAAAATGACAGGGTTATTTGAATTTTGCTGCACCGTAAGATGATTGATGGTGTACAATGCTTTTTCTAACTGACTGTGCGGGGTCTCACCCTGCATTCCCCGTTTTTGTTTTTGAAGAACCTGCTTCAGAGTACTATGAGCGCGTTCTACAATAGCTTGGCTAGTTGGAGAATGGGGGATACCAAACTTGTGTGACACACCCCACAACTGCAGGAACTGCTGCACTTGCTGTGATGCGTAAGCAGGACTATTGTTAGTTTTCACAGCAGAAGGTATGCCCAGAACGGCAAAGGCCTGTCTCCAGTGGGCAATGACATCACGAGCCTTTTCTCCAGTGTGAGCGGAAGCCCACATCGCAGAGGAGAACGTGTCTACCGTGACATGCACATACTTGAGCCGGCCAGAGTTGGTAATCAGGTGACACCTTGCTGGCCAGACACCCACAGTCATCATATCACAGCCCTAATCTGTTTCAGACTTTATTAAAAAGAAAAATATGCCACACTTTCTCTCCTTGCAGCAGACCAAAACATCATCTGCAGTTTCTGTGACCAGCAATTACATGGTCATGTATTTCTGTAGAGAGCTGAGGAAGAGAACTGGTCTGCCTGAGTCAATGTTATCAGTTCCTGATTTACAGAGTTAGTCATCAGCCTTTTAGATGTAATTTTTTCTCAGATTTTGATTAGTTTTGGAAGAGTTGTGATAAAATTAGTATAGGCACCTTCCCTTCTGACCTTCATATGCTGTTACCTTTTCTAAGAGTTTCTACAGGTAATGCAAATCAGCAATGAGTCTTGTTAACAGCTGCCTGGAAAGCTGAAATGTGAGAGAGCCTTTCAGGAGTTGAATTGTCTTCTGAGGCCTGTCACATATCTAGTGAAATACCCACTAACATGTACTTGGTGATGCAGCTTACGTATTTGTCATCCTCAAGCCACAGAAAGCTTTGGGCACAACAACAGCAAGCAGATATTTGAGTTACTAATTTTTTTCAGGCTGTTGTTCACCTGGTAAGATCAGGTGAAACCAAATACCGAAGATGAGACACCCCTACATCCTCATCATCACTGAGAAGCCCCAGTATCTCACGAAAGAGAAAACTTAAGCACCTAATTTCCTCAGAGGTGCTGGGCTATTCACCATCACTGCTTAGGTGCTTCCTTGAATCACACATTGAGGCCCATGACCCTGAGCATATGTTGCTTTCGCAAGTCTTCCCTCTTAGGAACTTTTGGAGATTATAGATCAGGATGGCAGAGTTCAGGAAATAAGCAGTTTGATCCCTTTGCTGAAATTTCAAGCAGGTGGCTGAGTCTGGCAGCAGAATAATTGGGGTCTATTATGTCATGCAAAAATTGCTTATTTTCCTTGATTATTTGTGCACGTTTTCCTCAAAACATAAGATTCTTTCCCAAGCAGTTGCGTGAGAATGCATGAAGGTGAAATACATGTGTCACATGTACTAGAGAATATGAGCATAGGGCTTGTTAATAACCAATTCTTCTTTAATTGACCTGAAGGTTGCTGACACCACCTCAGTTATAAGAAAAGACCAAGGAAGCTGGGCCTGTCCAGCCTGGAGAAAAGCAAATTGACAGTATCAATATATTTAAGTATCTAAAGGGAGGGTGTTAAGAAGATGCATCCAGGCTCTTCTTAGTAGTTCCCAGCAACAGGACAAGAGCAATGGGCAGAAACTGATGCACAAAAAGTTCCACCTGAATATGAGAAAGAAGTTCTTTACTATGCAGGTAACTGAGCAGTAGAACAGGGAACCCAGAGAGGCTGATGAGTCTCCCTCACTAAAGATATTCACAAACCATCTGGTTGCAATCCTGAGCCATGTGCTCTGGGATGGCCCTGCTTGAGCAGGGAGCTTGGATCTGAAGTCCCACTGCAGTCCCTTCCAGTGTAAGCCACTCTGGGATTCTGTGCACTGGGATGAGCAATAGGAACTAATGACTGGGCTCTAAGCTATTTGTAATTTAATGGCCACATCAGGTGCCAGTAACCTTCTGCCCTGCTGTGATTTTATGCTACTTTTGCTGTTAGGGTTTTTTTCAAAAAATAATAGAAATAAAAACTAAAATAATAATAACGTGGCAGATGGTGTACTCATCAGTTTCCAGCACCAAACAAATGGCTGAAATTAGTCATAGAGTGGAAATCAAGAAGAGGAGCATTTCACTACTTGCTCAGGGGCACACCAAGGATGATGACCAGCAGGATCAGAATAATTTGCCCAAGCAGGTCAGGAGTGCAGGTGTAGGTCATTGTTATGGGGGCACTTGCACCCTGGATAGTGTGAGACCTGCCAGCAGCCAGATCTGGCCCCAGCAAGGCATGGCTTTCAGCAGCAGAGCTGATCCTGAGCAGCTGGCACCGCAAGCACAGGCTCTTTTGCTTGGCATCCTCTGTTTCACATAGTACAGTATGCAGCACAGCGTCTTGCAGAACTTGGACTTGAATGCTTTTTGTCAGCTCCATCTATCTTGTGATGTTTATATAAAGCTCAAGGAGGAGGAGAGTTTCTTTGGAAATAAAGCTTACTGTTTCTTTGCTCTCTTTAAAATGCCCCAAAGCAGTGCAAAATCTGGAGTGAAGGCATTGCCCCGCCACAAAATACTTGTGGGATCCCTGGGTACCTGCCAAAAGTCCTAGTTATTTGTAGGAGGCAGTTGAGAATACTGCTGCAGTGTTAGCCTTCAAAAATGCATCAGAAGCATTTTTACACCCATCACATGGCTGCTGCTAAACTCTCCATGTATGGATGTTCAATATGATCCTATTTACAAGCTGCTCTGTCTCAGCTGAGAGCGTCTTCCTCTTGTTGTGGAAGAGAGGAGCAGGCACTAAAGATGCCTGACTCCTTCAAGGGACACTGCAAAACACCTTCCTTTGTGAGTTTCAGGCTCAGTCTGTTTTTTTTTTTTTCCAGACATTTTTAGATGAGTATTGATTCAGCACCGAGACCATGAAGCAGCTACTTAAAAATCTAATTTTATGTTAGATATGACCCAAGTTACAGATTTCAGCATGTCTGGGTGGATGGATGGATGGATGGATGGATGGATGGATGGATGGATGGATGGATGGATGGATGGATGGATGGATGGATAGCACATCTCAAAATCAATACACAAATGCTGTCAGCTGAAACACCTGTACATCAGAATATTTTCCAAGCAGTCCTTTTCAGGCTAAGGAAAAGCACCAGAGTGTGTTGAGGGATTTTGGATTTTCCTCCTCTTCTTTTTCTTTATTTTTATTTACTATATTAATTTATTAAGTGTCCAAACAAAGAGGCTTTTTTTTTTGCTGTCGTTGTTGTTTATAGCAAAGAACAAGAGAAAGAGGAAACATTAACAGAAAAATGCTTCTTTATTAATGTTTATGGACGTCAACAGACGAAAATGGACAGCAATAGAAATGCTGTGGCAGAAATTAAATAAGTCCCATTTCAACAAATTGAACATTATTTGCTTGCTTAACTCTTGTTCTTTGCCTGACTGAGCAGGAGAAGTCCCTTGCTCTCTATCCACTCTTAGCTCTGGTTCTGTACAAACAGCCGGGGGAACTATTGGTACTGCAAGGGGGCAGTTGTGCTGCTTTCATGAATTGGCTATGTCCAGTGTTGGAACAAGGCTGTAGTTTGGATTGGCAGGTCTGATAGCTCTTTGGCTGTATTTTTATTATTCTCTCCTCCCCTTCAAAACAGCCTCTATCATTATAGATGGCTACAGCAAAAACATGTCATTCCTGAGATGAATAAACATAAGTTATGTTAAAAATCTGCCTTGCTTTAAGGAGGCATTGGTCAGTAGGGTAGAGACCTCAGCTTATCTGATGCCTTCATGTTGTTTTGCTTTTCTTATTTTATTTTGAAGTGCATTTATTGTGTTAAAAACTGATTAAGAAGCAATACCTTAGAGAGCAATACTTTCAGAAGGAGAGCTGCCACATTTAAACAATCCATGACTTAAAGGGAAAATTTAAATATTTTGAGCCACAGTGACAGCAGAAACTGAAAATATTGAGATCCTTTTTCAGATAAAAAGAAAAAAAAGGCCATATGTTATGCAATGCATAATTCAGCTTTAAATTCAATGTCTGTTCCTTGGGAAGTTGTCAGTTAGGGTGAAATCTTTAAGAGTGACCTAGTAAGCTGCAACAGTTTCCATGCTCCATAGGAAAAACAAAACAGACTGAACAAAAAGTAAGAAATTATGCAAACAGCAAGGGACAGGAGTCTTCAAGTTATTCCTGCATAATTACAAGTGTACTAGAAGATTTTTAGATATAGGGCCTAAAAGGCACACAGGCCACAAAACTCCTTACTTCCATGTATAATTTACAAAAATATGTTAAGTTTTGACTTAAACATATGAAAGTTGATAAGATCAGTCCTAACCAATTTCCTTCCATGTCCTTCAGTGTTTCATCCAATGATAAGCTACTTATTATCTACTGAACACAGATTTCAAAAAAATAAAAATTTCAATTCCGATACATTTTTAAACAAACTGTGTGTGTGAGATAGCAGTCCTTGTTTTGCTTCCTTGTGCAGTGGATTAGTTTTTGGTTACTACTGTGCTGTGCTAATTTAACAGCCAAGGACTTGAGGACTTCTGCTGTGGCTGCTGTGGGGTCACCCAGCAACCAGCCCTCTCAGCCCCACCACTGATGCTTGTCTTTTGGCTCCCTGTACAGAAAATCCTGACCATGATCCCCAGCGAGGAGGAAAAGCAGAAGATCCAGGAGGCACAGCTGGCGAATCCCGATGTTCCCCTGGGCAGCGCTGAGCAGTTCCTTCTCACCCTCTCCTCCATCAGCGAACTCTCCGCCAGGCTTCAGCTCTGGGCTTTCAAGATGGACTACGAGATAGTGGAAAAGGTGAGGGAAAGCACAGGGATGGGTGGAGACTCTTCCGAGGCTTTGCTTAATCTTTCCCTGACCTTGGTATTATAGGGACATTTTGAGGAAATGGTAAATGGGTCGTTATTGTTTCGGTGGCCAAGCAGGAAACAGCTAAACTGATCCTTCATAATCTCTTCCTTCTATAAAATAAAATTAAGAGATTATGTCTTCCTTCCTTTAATTAGTCACTAATGATATTGAAACAAAGAAGAGGGCTAAATCTCTGCCACGTCTTCTCCAGATGCTGTTATTCAGGAAATTACTTCAGAGCAATGCAAATTTTTCTTTCGTAAAGATTGAGTGAGGACTACTGTATTCAGTCTTATATCATGAGAGTATTGATCTTCCATCCATTTGAACTAAGGAAAACACCATCCATTAAGGATTTTTTGTTTATAGCTCTTGAAATTCTAAACAAAACATCAGACAGTTCAGCTCAGTCACACACAGTTGTTGCCACCTTCTCCGTAGCTGGCATTCATTCAAAGAACACTATAATTGGTGTGTCTGTCAAGAATGATGAATCATAGGTACAAATTTTAAAAAAGAGGATAAAATTTTGGTGCATAGATGAGACAGAATGAAACCGTGTAGAGGATTTCAGGTACTTGCTGCCTTTCAAAAGGTCTTTCAGGAATCTCTGCACAGGAGCTTCCTTTTGGCTGCACTTCTGGTGCATACCCCTGGCATTGCCTTTAAAGCAGCTCTCTCCTCTATATATCTATTTTGTATCTGTGCGCATGGGTGTGTATTGAAAAATCAGTATAACTGTGTGATATGGGTGCTAAAAAGTGAAATATGTGAAAAAAGTTTCACATGCTTGTGAAAATTCCTTATGTTTACCTAGCAATGGTTATTTAATGAGTTGTGCAACAGTGGATAGATTTGCAGGTGATACTGTCGAGATTACTCAATCTTTATTTAATTTTCTTAGATGTTAGGACATGCAATCACACAAATACTCAGGATTTTTATTGGAATGTTTTAGTATTAGCCATTTATATTTCTGAGTTATATAGCAAAATACTTTTATCTGGCATGAATACTTTTTTGCCAATTTGTTTTGTTTTGTTTTGTTTTCACTCTGGTACAGCTATTTATTCTGCTTTCAAGTTACCACAAGGCTTAATTGTACCTTTCATGTAAGCTGAGATAGCTGTAGTTGTTAATTTCTGCATATACCTAGAATTTCTAGTGTCCTCTCAATCAAAAAGCAACATCTGAAGCACTGCTAAAAGCTAAAGAAATTCTGAGAGTTTCGTTTTGCCATGAAGTTAATTTATTGCTATCTAAAATCCATGTAAAATGGATGCCAGTACAAAATGTCACAAATACTTAAATTACTCGGAGAAGCAACAGCTGTAGGGAAGACAAAACCAACATTTTTATCCCTGTTTGAAGGTAGATAGGGCTAAGCACAGTACTTACCATAAAATGGTAGAGGAAGTAACATGTGATAAGTGTGATAAAGTATGAGGAGTACATGATAAGCCTAGCAGACAAGCATAGACAGAGCAGACAGGGTCTTGAGTGAGGACAAAGAAAAAGGGTCAGATATCAGGGCTGCAATGCAGAGTGAGCACCTGGGCATCTCCAGCAACAAAAGTTTAAGTTCCAGGTAACCAGTAAACATACATGTTATTTAGACTGAAATAAGATACTGGGATATTTATTCAGTTTTTAAAAACTAAGTAATTTGCAGTGATTATGATGATAAATGAGACTCTTGAACTGCTAACATTCTTCTGTTCTTAAAACTATGTTTTTGCAGAAGATCTATCTGCAAAAGGGCAAACTCTTCATGAAATATAGGTCCCAAAATCACTTACCTCCACAGCTTTAGATGGGTTTTTTTTTTTTCAGTCTGGCATTTGCTTGATCTTTTCTTTTTAAAACTTATTTTGTAATAAGGAACATTCATAGCAGTTCAGAATGCACTCATATTATTTACCAAGTCACACATACATTTTATGTAAGATATGAGTGTTATTATTTCCGTGAGGCTGGAAGTTTTAGATGGTGTGAAATACCTGACTTACTGGTAAGACCAGGATTCTCATACATGAGACTCTTCTGCGAACCTGCCAAGAACAGAGTTCTGCCTAAGTAGGTCTTAGCTTCATCTCTGACAACCTGAAAGAAAAGAACATGAATTGTTCAAGAAATGGGTTAAGTGATACATTGTTTATGTTCATGAAAACCTTTTCAGGCATAATAAGAGAAATAATCTTTCATAGCTTGAATTTAATTAACTGAAGCAAGTCAGGGTACATTTGTAGGGAGCATCCTCAGACTGTGAGGGGCTGAACTGGATGAATAAATACTTACTCTTTGCTCTCTATAGAAAATTTAAAAAAGAAAAAACCTTTTCCAAATTATTTTCTTGATAATGTGTATGCTGCTTTGAAATGTTAACTTAAATGCTAACTGAAGGTCATTAGCAGAACAATAATTTCTCTCACTTTTCTTTTGGTATCCTAGTTTAAATGCACAAAGAGGTTAAAAACATTGCACCATGTTGCTACTCATTTCTCATATGGAACTACTTATGATGGAGATATTGTCAAATTTTATTATCTTAAAAGGACTTTAAGGTGTTATAAAAAAAGAATAGAAACTGTGATATTTTTTTTAAATTATGATCACTGCAGACCAATACATTCTTTTTGCTTATAACTTAAAAGATCACAAAATTAATGTGTAGAAATGAGAAAAGTACAGTGAGTTGAGTTCATTTGTACATGTCCATCAAACATTGAATCCGGCATTTTGAGGTGTCTTTCAGACAGAAGTTCTGGACCAATCCTCAAATTTAATTCCAACCTAATTTTTAGCTGAAAAATAAAAATATGGTATCCAACGATAAGAGGTAGCTCTGCCTTATCTATCTGCCCTCTTTAGATGGAAGGTGAGTTTTATACGAAGCAAGAGTGAGTAAATTTGAAAAAATCAGAAATTTGTCTGATTGTTCAGTATCTTGCGCCGTTTTTTATTGTCTTTTAATCCTACAATAAAGTAAGAAATAAAGAGTAATTATAAATGTGTACTATATGCAAGAAAGTCTAAGATCAGACAACTTGTCTAAATAGCTAAATGAAGGGCTCAGTGTGGCCTGGTTTGGAAGCCTCTTATGCCACCTTCTTACTCACCTGGAGAATGTTTTAAATTAGTCTTTTAGCAATGTATTTTTGGACAGGTTGAGAATGGATATGAATTAAATATTTCAGAATCCCATATTTACCACAGATTAAGAGCAGTTGGAGTCATTGCATAACATAACAAAACAAACTAAATCAACTCTGACTTTAAAGCAACTCAAAGAATACAGCAGTTTCATTTTAATTCACTCTGATAAAGTCCTGGATTATATAGCACCTCTTCTCCTGTATAAACTACTTAGCCTACTGTCTCATCTCTTAATTTGTTTTAAATTTGCCATATTCTTTTCAAGAGACAAATTGTTCAGTAGGGACTAGAAATGTGTTTCATTAATCTTTTGCGGTAAAATATTACTACAGTTGTTGAAGGAACCATTGTGTGTCTCTAAGAAATTGAAATTCTCAGTTATTTTGCCTCTTGGTCTGAAATAGCAGCCTAATTTTGGCTTCTTGGTTCATAAAGAGTATATCAATTTGGGAAATTGGGGAAAAAAGTCTTCCTGCCCATGGCACAGGAGTTGAAATTAGATGACCTTCAGGTCTTTTCCAACACAAACCATTCTATGATTCTGTGAAAAGAATGCTGCTCACAGATGCATAGAATGGTATTTGAAGATAGAAACAGTGTGAACTGTTAGTGTGCATACAAAATAAATAACCCTGGGCCTCACACAGAGACATAGAAATAAGTTCTGTCAACTCAATTACCTTCACTCTCTTCCTTTGAACTCTCTGGTGTAGTTCACTTCCTGAGGTAATGGAAAAGAATTTATGATTTCAAGTCTTACCAGTATGCATATCTATACTCAGATAAAATGTGTAGGTGGAAGATGCATTAAATTAAAATATTGAAATGAGACTATCTGTAAAGCTTGATGTTTACAGCCGGTTTTCTTTTTCAGTTCTAAATTCTCACAAGCACAAAGCCATATCTAAAACACAGAAATGGCCATTGTTTGGAGAAAGCTGTAGGGTCAAGCTACAAATTTTAAGTCAGCAAGGTTTCTAACTTTTTAAATTTGTTGTTCAAAGATTAGAAAAAATACTTTTAGGAAGCCTTTTTATCAGTTGGGGCTTGGGTGTGTTCATGGATTTAACTGAAATGCAGCAGCATTCTCCTTTTTGGATTCACAGGATAGTCCCCAGGACAAGTAAGGCAATTGCATACATAAAGGAACAACAGTAGGAAAATATTTTATGTACTTTTTTTGCTGTCCTTGCATGTGATTTATTAGCTGGAACATGGAAGAAAGCCAGCACACATGGCCAGTTTACACTCTGCAAGACGCCAGTTCAGGAACTTTTTGCAGTAATTAATCTAAACCATAGAATTAAAAACTAACCTTCACTTTCTTGTTTCTGTCCTTATGGTAGGAAGTTGCAGAACCACTGCTAGACCTGAAGGAGGGAATGGACCAACTGGAGCACAATAAAACTTTGGGATTTATCCTTTCTACTCTGCTAGCCATTGGGAACTTTCTGAATGGAACCAATGTAAGCCTGATGTCCCAGCATTTCCCCTGCAGGTTTTTCCTTCAAAAAAAATACAAATCAAAACCATTGTGAAAATTGCAACCCACTATTTATTTTGTACCAGAAAAGTAATTTAGGAGATAGAATGTGCTTTTATTCTGTGTTTTGTGTTGTGTCTTGCCTCTTTCAGCATAATCTGAAGGAAATGTGGAGCTAAGCAGTTACAGTGTAACTCCCTTAAGCATAGTGTTGATGCTTTGCATTCAAAGTGTGAGAACTGTGTTGTGGGTCATTTCACTGTAGATGGACTGATTTTAGGCCTAGTCTTCAGCAAATTAAAAATTAATAAAAGCAATGAGTTTCCTCTCCTGTAGGATTCTTCTTTCCCCTCTGCCCCTTATTGGGCATCATTTTTGTCTATTAATCAGCATGGGAAGGAGTAAGCATTTTTATTTTTAGTGTATTTTTTATGTCTTTATTTTTACTGTCTATTTATTTTTAATGTATTTTTTTTCCATTACAGGCCAAAGCTTTTGAGTTGAGCTACCTCGAGAAGGTTCCAGAAGTCAAGGACACAGTGCACAAGCAGTCCCTCCTGCATCACGTCTGCACTATGGTGGTAGAAAAGTTCCCAGACAGCACTGATCTATATTCAGAGATCGGGGCCATCACTAGGTCAGCCAAGGTATGTCCAGTAGGTAAATACATCTATATGTGCATTTTTATAACACCTCTCTGAAGTGAAATATTTAAGATTTTATTCTTTTATTTTTTTGATCCTCTGTGGTTGCAGCACTATTTATGAATGTGTGTTCATTGTGTCATTTGCACTGGATTTCAAAGATGCCAGTACTCCCTCTTCCGAACTTTATTTCTGGCTGTCACAAGGTTCCCTCATCAGTGCACTCTTAGGCAGCCATTGGTTATGACACCTATGTTAATGTTCTGTACATTATTAATGTATATACCTATAAAGAACTATTTTCAGGTTAAAACTTTATTTTACCAGTATCCTCAAATATATTTATTCTGTGGCTTGGGGGAATCTCTTTTATAAGTCAGATGCCTGATTTTATTTTAAATCCAATGGAAAGAATTAATTTTTTTGCTGATAAAATTTTTCTCCAGAATTAGAGAGTCCTTGAAATACTTGGTTTAACTCACAGAATCACAGAATGGCTGGGTTTGGACAGGACCTCAGCATATGGTTTTAGTCCAACCCCAGCTAAAGCAGGTTCACCTAGAGCAGGTTGCAGAAGAAAAGTCCGGGGGGTTTTGAGTATCTCCAGAGGATCTCTTGGGATGTCCTTAGGAGTTAGGGAACATAAATAGAAATAAAGGAATCTTGTTGCAGCACCTCTCATCAAAACTGGTCCTTCCCTGGTTAATGCATAGGTCTGGTAAACGGCTTGATGCGGTCGGGAGATTATTGCTCCTGTGAGCAGGCATGATAGAAAAATCACTTTTAAATCTCTCAAGAGTGTGAGATTTCATTAATAACCCTTAAAAATAGTGCATTGCTTGATTAATGGAGTAAACATGGGAGATAGCAAACATAAAAATTCTGTTTAGGAGTCATGTTTCATGGAAATAATAACAGCAGATAATTATAGTGTCCTTCTAGTCCAGTGTCTTGATTCAGACAGTGGCCAATACCAGCTGCTTGACAGAAGAGCACAAGAAGTTTCTAAGGGAATGAAAGATTTCTCCTAGAAAATTTATTTCATGAGCCATGATTCTCATTATGTGCATCAAATAGAGGAATGATTTCTTTTCCAAAAGCTGCCTTATTTGGATGTTGGGAGAGGACCTGGAGAGTGTGGGATCAAACAACTCTGTTTGCCCCCACAACCCAGGACATCTGTATAATACAATACATTTTTTTTAACTGCAGAAATGAAATCTTATTTTGGCTCCTAGTGCAGTTCTTGCAACAATGACTTCATAATCATAAATATTCATAATATTTTCTGCTGTTAAATTTGCTGGTTTCAAGAATTACTGTCTGAATATACTAAAGTCAATTTTTTTTTTTTTCTAATTAACAGAATAACTTAGGTTGGAAAGAATCTCTGAAGGTCATATGATCCATCACCCTTTTCAGTGCAAGACCAGATTAAACTAGGCTGCTCAGATCCTTGTCTAAGTCTTAAATGATCCTTTTATGTCTTTTGTTTATGAGACCATTTCCACACTTTTCCTTCATCTTACTTTTTTTAGAACGTGTTAAACAATAGTAAGTACAGTATTCCAGCTTCTCCTTATCAATGTCAAATCTTACTGTGTTGTCCATTCTGCTACCTTTTGTTAGATGTTCTGAGGTTTTCTCTGTGTTCTTTGACTTGCTGCTACCCTTTGGACACCCATTGTCCCAAGGCAGTTCCCAAGGACATCCAGGCAGTCTCCTGAGCTGACACAGCATTCAGAACTCTCAGTGGAGTCAGATGCTGCCATGCACTGTGCACTTTATTGCAGTCTACAGCAGTGACCATGATCTGCTGAAGAAGATTACTGCTTATCTCTCAAACCCCTAATAATCTTCAGTCAGGACTAATCTGAATAATTTCCTGCCATCTGTAGATTTTACCCTCTGGATATGCTTCTTTGTTTCCAGATAATTTTGTAATACAGAGCACAAACCATGAGACACCTGCTGTTATCCCTGTCAATAAATGAGAATCAATGTGTATTCCTTCTTTTCTTTTGCCCTCTGAACCTCACAATTCATAGGTGGACTCCCATGACTCCCTTGAAAAGAATTTGAATTTTAATTTTCTTTAGTTAGTCTAATCTATTTTCTATTTTATAAACATTCAGAATATAGTGGTTATTTTTATGTATTCAGTTTCCTGTCACTCATCCTTTCAGCCAAGTTACCTGATGCAGTAATGAAACCTAACTTTGATGCTTTTCTAGGGATAGGCAAAACTTCTGCTATCCTTTTATTCTCTAAGTTACCAAGTATAGTTTAATAAATATTCGTATTCATTTTAGCCAGTGGCTGAGTTTCTTTATTTTAATTGATGTCATAATTACTCTACTTGTTTACTTCTTTGTATGGTATCATCTCTCTCCAACATGTATTTCTGCTAGTAAGGTTTCAAACTTTGCTATTAGTTCACATCTACTAAAAATATAATAGAGAAAAAGGAAAGGAGCACCAGAGTAGGTTTTTCCCCAACATCCTCTGTGGTGAAGTTGGATGAAAAGAAAGTCATCTTGCTTCCCTTCTCTATTTTTTGTCTTCCTCAGTTTCTTTCATCCCCAGTGATCCAGAACCTCCTACATACTTTCTTTTTTCTTTTTTGGTACCATAAAGGAATTTGTGGTTTTTGTTTTATATGCTTAGATATTTCCTCTTTAGATTCCATCTCTTTTCTCCTAGTTTTCCTCTCCTACAGCCTATGTTTAGGTTCTGGTTTATTGCCTTCAGTGAGTCTGGTTACTCATGTTTGGAAGATATTAACTTTCTCTTATGTTTTTGTTTTTAATTTGAGTGATTCTTACTTTTTTAACATTTAGGTATATTGGTTTCTCATTTCCTGCTTCTTCTCTTTGCTAAGAAGTTATTTCCCTTTTTTTCTTAGATTGGGATCAAGTTAATCACTAAGAAGAAAAGTTACCACAAAAGAGAAGAGCCTTTGTTTTCCAAATTTCTCACCACCATGTATGGTATTCTCCCAAGTGGTTCTTCTATTTTTCAGTCATAAAAAGTGGAAGAAAGCTTAACCTACTGCTGTCACTTTAAAAAAAATTTAGGTCTAAGAGCGTGCAAAATTGAGCACAGTCTTTCAGTCTGTGGTTTACTGCTCCAGTGGCCCTGCCCAAAGCGGACAAAAATCTAAAAAGGCCAGACAAAATCACATTAAGAGAAATTATAGCCTTAACCTTCCCCGTGTCACCCAGGGTCTCCCTCCTTGGGATGTTCCTGATGTGTTAAACCACTGATGGATTACTGTAACAAGCTCTATTCCCACTTGATCATAGCTGCCACAAATCAGAGAGTTAGAATGTGGAAGCCATCCAAGCTGCCCTCTTCAAGGGAATGTTCACAGACAAGGCAAAATCTTGGTTTAGGAAAGCTGACAGGAAAGGGGAACTAATATTTCACTGTGGATTAGGCTGTATTTTGAGCTGTGTTTTGCCTACAAACATCTTTCAGAAACCACAAAGGCTAAACAATTTCCATCCTGTAGATAAGCAGATATGCCCCTTCCCCTGAAATGCGCATCATATAAGAATTTCCTGAGCATTAGTTCATGAAAAAAACCCAAAAACATAAAGAAATCAGGCTGCCCCACCAAAAAGGAGCTAGAAGGACCAGAAATAAATGATATAGTTATTGCAAAACATGTGGCTTTTTTACTGAAGAACTGAAATCATAACTAGCATCAAGAAAACAGACAGAAGTGAAAAAATTAGGGAAAAAATAGAATTCTAGATAAATAAAAGCATTTATAAAATTGTGCACAGCACTTATTTAGTATCACATGATTAAAATCACTCACCCTTTTTATTTTCTTGATATCTTGGTTTTTTTCGCTGATGTACCAGAACTGATGTACCTAATACTGAAGGAGATCCTCAGATTTCTGCAGTTAAGATCGAGTGTTGTTCCTAGAAATTTCCTTAAGAAACAGTTGCCTCAGCCCCAATATCTCCTCTGTTAGTGAATAAAAAATGTGTCCTTATTAAAAATGTTCATCTTCTCTCTCTAACCTATAAATATTTCCCCTGTGCATCTGAAAACTGGCCAGCTCTATAGATAAACTAAAATTGTCCTTTTCTTCCCCGATTTTAATTTACTTACAAGATGTCAAACTTTTGTCTAGTTTTTAACCCCTGCTGCAAGACACTTGGGTACAGGACACTCACAGGTACTAGGCAGTGGAGAAGCAGGCAGCTATTAAAAGTAAATAGAAAATGTTAGCAGCACAGGAGGGGGCAAGGACTGCTGATAGGAAAGAATTTAGGATGAGCCTAAGGCATACACAGGGGAGAAGTAAGCCTGCAGCAACCTGCCCTCCAAGGACCTTAGCAGGGAGGCATGAGGAGACAGAAGCTGGCTGGAACAAAACTGATATTTGACATGCTATAGCTTCTGCCTGATAAATTGGAAAGCAGAGAAAGGATAAAAAAAATAAAAAGGTAGGGAAAATTATGTTGCCTCCTGTACTCTTTCAGTGTCTCGTGTCTCGCTTGACAGAAAGTATTTGTATGCAGTTATCATTCAAGTATGTTTTCCCTACATTGTTTCAAACAAAAATAAGTGCCAAAAGTCAAATGGTCTTCTGCAGAAAAAAGTCCAGGAATGCAAGGTTTCTTGCAGTCATTCCTTGTGGTGCCAGCAGCTGCCTTAGATCGTGGCATGGGCTACAGGAGCAGAGTAGAGCATGGAAAGGCAGATCCTATTGGCTGCAGGGCATACTGGGGCAAGGGGGAAGGAGCTTCCATGGCAAATGAGACTTTGAGGTTGTGTCTCAAAGAGAGCAGATGAAGTTTGGCACATATGCCTGATGGCACTGTGTTGTTTCAATAACGTTCCAAGTGACATGACTGCAGGAATTGTTGCATGTGACAAAATACTGTCTGAAGGGATCTACATCACCACTGTGTGATATGGCTCCCTTTTGTCCCAGATTGTGGGAACTGCCATACAGCATCTGCAGAAAGAGTCCATGTAGT